AAAACCTCAAATTTCATTTTTAAATAAAGTGGATCTAAGTGGGACAATCGGAAGATCCAAAAGGGAAATCATAGCTCTAAAAAGGCAGATTTGATATCAAAAAGCTAAGAGAAAATGGGGGAGCTCAATTCTTTAGATAACAATCCATCAAAAAGGAAGGATATTCGATGATTTAAGTGCCTTACATAAGAATATATTGCCTCTAAATGTCCAAATAAAAAGGCCATGATTATAAAAAAATTCATTAAAGAAGTTAATAGTTAATCCGAAAAGGAATATATGGTCGAAGGAGTCGATGAAGTTTGAAGTTTGTCGTTGATGAAGAGATATTGGTAATTAGGCATATGATGAGTGTTCAAACCAAGATAGATCTCGAGCAATGAGAAAACATCTTCCATACAAGGTGTGAGGTGAATGACAAGATGTATAGAATGTTCATTGATGGAGAGAGCTATGCTAATAGAGCCTTTGCAGCTATAGTGAAGAAGCTCGATTTTCTTATGAAATACCATCCCAAAACACATACTTTACAAAGGATTAATGATGAGCGGGATCGTAGGGTGACAAAACAAGTGATGGTTTCCTTTTCTATTGGTAAATCATATAAAGATAAGATATGTATGATGTAGTTTTATGAGTGCTAGCCATCTATTATTTGAAAAATTGTAGCAACATGATCAAAGAGCTATATATGATGAATTAAAGAACATCCTTTCATGAATAAGGATGAGAATATTGTATTGGCATCATTAAATCCACTTCAAGTGCGAGCACGACCAACGTGTACTTAATAAGCCTAAGTAGAGCATGTTTGTAACCAAAGGAAAAATGATGTGCGCATTGATCAATTGAAAAACCATTTGTCTCCTTATGGCTAAAAACATCGATCAATGTAAGAACTCATCCATTCCTAATAACATTAAGTTAATTATTGATGAATTTACTTATATGTTTCCGGAAGAGTTATCGAAAAGCTTATTACCTATTCGAGGAATTGAGCATCAAATTTATTTTGTGCTTAGGACTCGTATTGCCAAACCAACCAAGTATATAAAATGTAATCCCAATAAGGTAAATGAGTTATAAAAGCAAGTTAATGAGTTGATTGAGAGGGCTATGTTCATGAGTCTATGAGCCCATATTCAATATCGGCATTATTAGTGCCATAGAAGAATGAGAGTTAGCATATGTGTGCAAACAACTAGACTATCAACAAAATTACTATTAAGTATAAGTATCCTATTCCACTTCTAGATGACATGTGTGATAATTGCGTGGCTTTATAGTGTTTTCTAAAATGGATTTATTCAACAAAAACTCTATCTATACCATCTAGTCATTTAGTCGTCGGAAAGATGTTATCACAAAATGCTATTTCAATTCAACTAATTATTGCCATCGAATTTGGATGAAAGACGGAGACAAATGGAAGACAACATTTACGACAAAGTATGGCTTATATGAATGGCTCGTTATGCCGGTTGCCCTCTCTAAGTGCACTAAACACTTTTATGAAACTTATGAACCATATACTATGTAAGTTTATTGGTCATTTTGTTGTTGTTTATTTTGATGATATTTTGATCTATATTAGGAGCATAGAAGAGCATCAAGAACACCTAAGAAAAGTCTTTAAGGTTATGTGAGAAAAGAAGTTTTACGAGAACCTCGAAAAGAGTTCATTCCGTCAAGATCGAGTGGTTTTTCTTAGTTTTGTGGTGTCTAGTGAAGGCGTGAAGGTAGATAAGGAGAAAGTGAAGACGATCATGGAATGGTCAACACCAAAGTCGGTTTCGGAGGTAAGGAGTTTTCACGAGTCGACTTCTTTTTATCAAAGTTTTGTAAAAAACTTTAGTACAATCTTGACTCTATTGAATGAATTAACAAAAAGAAGGATTCGATCATGATAGTGGTGGATTGATTCTCAAAGATGGCATACTTTGTTACTTGTCACAAAATGAATGATGCCATACATATTGCTAATTTATTATTTTAGGAAATTATGTGATTACCTAGCCTTCCAAGAAGCATTATATCTAATTATGACACTAAGTTCTTTGATGCGGGAGCATTCACGAAGACTTAAGGTTGAAAGTTTCCTTACCATTATGGCTAAAACTTTCGGACATCTATACTATCTTATTTAGTCATTTTTTTTATTTGGTTTAGTTATTTATTTGGATTATTTTTATTTATATGGACCGAGGATAATTAAATAGTTTTTTATTTTCTTATTATTTTAGGATTGGTCGAATATTTAGTCTAGGTGGGTGATTGGATCTTTGTGTGTTAAAGATCTTTATTAATTATAAGTCTATATAATATGTAGATTCATATTAAATTGATTAAGTCCTAGTTGAATATGAATTGCACAAAGTCTAAGTATTTTAAGTAAAAGGGAATTCTAGATTAGGAGAGGAAACTCAACCCTAGCTATATCTTTTGGGGTTTTAGAGAGTGAGTATTTAAGCATAATTTGTACATATTTTTTCATAGACTTTGAAAAAATATGTACAAATTATGCTTAAATACTCACTAATTTTGAATGAAAAATTAGAATTTTCTCTGCAAACTCTTTGCATATTTTCTTTGTTTGGATTGGCTAAAATATTGTAAAACACATTCTTAGAGCGATCGACTAAGGTGGACTTCGGATTGACAATTGCTTTAGATGGATTCTAGGCGAATGTATCTTGTAAGTACTCTCTAAATTTTCTTTGGATGGTGGATTCTTACTCAAGAACAAGACATTGAGGCTTGTATTTTTATTATTTTATTGTTGAATTTAAGATTGACTAGAATTTCGAGTTGAATAGTTTTAGCCTTAAAACTAATAACTATGGATAGGGATTTTTATTTGATCTAAAATTTTGACAGTCTGATTAGATCTCTATTAGAAAATTATAAACATAATAAAAATATTTGATTGGGTTTTTGGGTTGTTAAACGTTGTTAAAATTCTCGAATCCTATTTTATCCAAAATTTTGACTATCTTAAATAAATAACTATAGAGCTTGGATTAACCTAAATTTTGGTATACATATCTTTATCTAGGTTGTATTAAAATTTCAGCTCATTTTGATCTATGTACCCTAGGTAAAACGATAATAATAACTAACGGGTTCTTAAAGCGTTACTAGTGGAGTTTTAGAATTTTTCTTGTGTTTGTGATTTTGGTTTGTTTGATTGTATTTTGATATGTGAGATTTTGAGGCTGAATTGTTTTTGGAGTTTTTCGATCTAGAGATATTTCTTTGGTGTTTGTGTATTTGTGTTTTTTTAGATTTTGACATCTCTCGAATCGGCATCATTCTTGAGGCATTTTTGAAGGACACTTTCGGGAAAGCTTGGTACATAATTCATATTTAGCTTGGCTTCCCATCTTCCAACTAATGGGCAAATGGAAGTGGAAAATTATATTCTTTCTTTCCTACTTAGAACTCGTTGTTTGCAAGAACTTGAAGAATTGGGATAATTGTTTGGTTTATGTTGAATTTAGTTATAACCATTCAATTTATTATAGGGCTAAACATTCTCCTTTTGAAGTTGTTTATAGATTTAATCCTATTACACCTCTCGACTTAGTTCCATTACAAACCGGGAAGCATATTAACATGGATGGTGTTAAAAAGACCAAATATGTCAAGAAATTGCATGAGAGAGTGAAGGAGTAAATTGAAAGCCATTATGCATGAATTGAGAAGTATACCAACAAGGGTACGAAGCAAGTTAATTTAAATAGGAAGATTTGGTGTGCATTCATTTTCATAAGGAAATATTTCTTAGCAAGAGAAAGTCAAAGCTAATGCCTAAAGCCGATAGATTATTTCGAGTGGTAGAAAAGGTGAACAATAATACGTATAAAATTGAATTGCTAGGTAACTAAAGAATTTTGACCACCTTCAATGTTTATGATCTATCACCTTACTTGGGGAACATGGTTTGCATGACATGCAATATGATGTTACACACTCAAATTTTGATCCAATAACAAGAGCTCGTGCAAGAAAGCTTCAAGTCCATCTTGATCTTGTTTTGAAGTCTAATTCGAGTATTATGAGGATATTGGACCACATTGGATCACTTATTTTTTAGCTAGAGCTTACATGGCCAAATAAAAGCTTGTTTGGGCTTGATTTAAGTCTTTTTAGCTAGAGCTTACATGGCCAAATAAAAGCTTGTTTGGGCTTGATTTAAGTCTCGAAAAGATTTCACTTTATGATGTTTATTTACTGATTAGTTTGTTTCCTTTTTTATATTCTATTTAAGTTATTTCCTATTTTATAAAACTTACATAATTATTCTCAATTAGTTGTGAATGTAGATTGTTTTTCCTATTTAAAGTAAGATTCGGAATAGGAACAACTTGAAAAAAAAAAAAAAAAACAACTTGATTTAGGATTCTCTGGTCATGCTTATCCTAGTTATGTTTTAGGAGTGTGTTTCAATTATATAAAATTGGCTTATTCTTTTATATCAATAAGTGATTATTAATACAAATTTCGAGAGATTATTCCTCTTATCCAAGTTCTTATATGACCAAACTAATGGTAAACAAACTTGAATCTTATCACTCAATTCTTGAGTATGGCGATTCACCCACTTTTTGCTTATTTGTGCATCATATCAACTCAATTTGGAAAGCTTCTTCTTTTCTTATCTTATTTTTACTTTAAACTAAGTAAAACCAACCTTAGATCACCATGCATGTTCTGCACGAAAACCAACTCGTGAATTTATTACAAAAGAAAGATAATAACACTTATAATAATTTAATATCACATAAACGATAGTAAAATACAAAAAAAAATCATTTTTTTTTTAAATAACGGCTGTTATATAATAATAATGGCATATAATGTGGTTATTTGTGTGAACACCTTTGTATTACCTATAATGACATATGATGATAACAGACATGTCTAAATCCATTATATAACGACGGTTACGTTATATGACTACCATTATTTGAAACTATTAACAAAGTTACCTACTGATATTAGATTTGTGGTCTTGCCTGAACCACATATATTGCTCCATCTTTTACCACTCCTTCAATATCCTGGAAGCAACCGTAAAGGTTTTCTATGACTTTTCCTGCCTCAACAATTTTTGAGAAGAGTGAAGTTTGGAAAGCTTTATCAACTATAATCCGATCACTGGAGTAGTCTAAGACAAGCTTCTCCTCTTCATCCATGAGCACACTGCAACGAGTACGATGAGTATTGTATCGATTAGCAACAATGGAGGAAAGAACATGCAAAACAAGTATTTGCATGTTCCTGAATTAGCACATAGGAAAAAAATTAAAACAGCTCAGGCTGTTTACTGCGGAAATGAAACAGTAGATTCACTTGTGCTATAAAACACCACCATTTCGTTGTACTGATGAATGAAGACCAACAAGAGCACAAATGAGTTGTGGTGCACCCTACTAAGAACAGAGATTTCCTAAAATGTTGTCACAGCCATTTAATAAGTATATAAAAAGGCTGCACAGAACCTACAATTATACCAGCAGTAAGGTGATTTGAGTCCCAAGAAAAACTGCAATGAGATCCTAAACCATCATATAAATGGTGGACAAGATAAACAAACTATTTCATCACCTAATTGCGAATATTCCAAAGCTGGGGTGGTCTGCCTGCTTGTGTTAATCAATGAAGCCCAAATTGTCTCACATGTTGAGATGCAGGTCAATGAATACATATAAAAAGGACGCGCAGAACCTTCCACTATATTTGGATTCCAAGTAAATTCGCAATAAGATCCTAACCACCATATATTTATCACTAATGATGTGGATAACATGACAGATTGATGGATTGCTCCATGATCTAGTTGTGGACATTCCTGGTGAGCCCCAATTCAGTAGTTTTTAGACTTTGGAGACCCAGGACTAAAGGAGATGAAAAAATACGGCAATTTTTATCTATTGCACCAAATCTCAGAACAGAATTTTAGAAACAGACCTGTCATAAAGCCCAGCACCAGCATATCCTTCCAGATCTTCACCATTTGAGTCCGACCTGAATATTATGGAAGGCTTGCTATATAGGCCTACATTCTTACTTGGATAACCAGTAACCTGGAATGCAGATTCATATTTGGTTTTAGAAGGAACAATATGTGTACACGATTTTCTTTAATCAACTAAATTTGTTCAGCTGACATGCTAACTAAAAGCCAATAAAGATAACCTAGCCTTCTTATCCAGGGAAAGGGAGGCATCTAGTGAAGGCACATAAAGAGGATATAGCCTTACAATAGGAAACTTCAAATTGCTTTTTTTGGCAAGGAAGCTCATAGCTCGTCCTGGATGTGCACCCACCAAAGTCTCTCCCAAGCCCTTCACAATCTGTTTGGATTAACAGAATCAGATGAAATGTACGCCACTCCACTTATTTAGAACAGAAAGAAAAAGGCATACCTCTGCATATATCTCTGAGGTATCCCCTGACAAGGGATTCTTTGTGTGAATTACAAAAGCATAATCACCACAAATGACTTCTTGAATCAATACAGCCATGCACAAATTCTCATGATTCAGGTTGGCTTTCCTAGAACTAACAAATGCTCTTTCATTCCATTTTGAAGCCCAAACCGAAGGAAAAAAACAATTATGTCCCCAATAAGCGGAATTGCTCTTTTTTTTTCCACCTGAAATGGCTATGTATCACCATATTCTGCCGGAGTAGATCATGCCATAGAAGATTACGCCAATTCAATAAACTTCACACATTCTCAAACCTTACAATCTGGAGCAGAGGAAATTCATGTTGCCTTCTGTTATTTTGAGAATTCGAAGTGGAAGATTTGATCTTGTCTTTGGATTAGCCCATAACACTAACATATGTCACACACACTCACATGCACATGCACAAGAATTTACACTAGCCACAAGAAAAGGAAAATATGCAGGGCCTAAGGAATTATATTGTTGCTCCAAAATAGATCAGAAAATGCGAAATTAGCCATGTAGTCTACCACAAGAAGCAATCAATTGTGGCCCCAAAAAGGGTATGAACGATATCATATAGCAGGAGTTTTTAAGAAAAAGACCTTCTTTATAGCTTGCCAAGCACAAGTCCACCTTTCCTCACTTTCATCACCAGGCCAGGATATTCTTGAACTTCTCATTTTGCTTTTAAGTTCATAAATCTACCAAAAAGTTCAAAATATAACAGAAGCACAATGGAAAAAAATAAAATTAGATAGCCTGCATACATAGAGTCACTTTCAAGAGTTCTTTCCTTCAAAGAAAACCAAAATATCTGTAACCATGAACTCACCAGGACTTCCACAAGGAGTAATTAATATTAAGAGTGACACTTGTTCAGAGACAGTTAAAGAAAACATGTTATATCAAGGCAATAGGTTGTGAACTACAGTTAATTTGATAACTGTTTATTAGAAGGTGTTGTTTGTATTGAGAGCAGTAAGAAACAAAAGAAAAACCAGCATGTGTTTTCAGGAAGGGTAAAACTCGTCCCCCTAAATTATAGAGTGACAATTAGTTTTGTTATGAATTTCCATGCTGTATATCATAAGTCAGAATTCTGTGGCATCATTCGAGCAAAACATTGCTGACAGAAACCATTTTATAGGAAATAAGCACATGTACACATTAGTAAGTGGTCAAATCGTAAAAAAATAGTACCAAAGACAAAGGCGCTCTGATTTGTTGAACAGCATCTCGCATTGCTTGCAGTTTAGCAAGGTCGCCACCCAAAGCAGATTTGTAAAAGCTTGACATCCTTTTTGCTATATCCTGAAAGAAAATAGGGCATCAAAACTGGGCAACAGATAGCAAAACCTAATACTCACAACTTTTAACAGAGGGAAACCACATAGTAGCTCTCACTCCAGCAAAGGATGTTGATGCCACCTAGAATAACAATAGGGGATACTTGACTGAACATTTCTATAGTTATGAGAGAAAATTTGAAGTGAAGGGCATAGTTTGAATATTGGAAAGGGCATTGACCCAGTTAATGGATATTAAACAATAACTTCAGTATGCGATGATGGTTGAGAGTTTATTTATTAAAGATATCAAATATGCACTTTTGAAATAGTCATACTATTCTGCCGTTTAATCTTCTTCCTTTTTAATCGGGAGAATTCCTGATTGCCACCTAGTGGGGATCTTTCTGTCTTTCTTTCTCATAGCATTTCTTCCTTTAAAAAAAAATCTGAGACAGCAATTCCCACTAGGATGTTTGTCATGTAGTTTTCTGGTTGGCTTAAACCAATCAATGCCATTCTTGATCATAAGCTACCAAGCAGTTAATTATTATGCTCAGAGAAATTAAAACTGTTTAATGGTCTTGCTTCTGCCAATACTCTTTGATTGCTTGCTGACAACTCATTGGAACTAACCCTGTAAATCTAGAGCACATCCCCATTGATATTATCCAGAAGTAGGAAGGATGAAAACTTAGAGTTACAGAGAAAAGAAGCTTGGAATTTACTTGTATTATAATTTGTGAACTTTTGAAAGGAAGAAAACTCAACTACATCAACCTCCTTGTCTCCTGTTACTCCAATATTATTTCCTAACTGCTGCCCAGGGGCAAGGAGTATGTTTATATATGTGTTTGAGTTTGTGTTTTGTGTTTAAAAGCAAAACAATTGATGATTGGAGCCATAACATATGAGGCAACAGAAACTATTTGCAGATCTGGCAAATTGACAGATCAATCCACAGCATGTTTAGAGCACTCTGATAACAAAAATCACTGAGAACTCAGATCATTTTTTGGCTACCAAGGTAGGGAACAACCACAAGTGCACCATGCTCAGGAGGCCTTAACTCTAGACACGTTATAACAGGCAACTGGTTGGGTGAGGTATGGGAACACTATAAGGGTCAAGGTGTGAGCCTCATACCAAACCTGCCAAAGATTCTTTGCTTCTAACTTTAAAGTTTTCAAGCAAAGAAAGACATATCATAACAAGGGAAAAAAATGCTAAAATCTGTAAATATGGTTGTATCCATCACACAGGCAAGACTAGTTACCAGAATTTTCAATTGAGCCTAGGAAATTCTTATACTTTCTCATTCCAGTGCTGGTAAACATTTTACTGGAATTAAATGAAATAAGAACCCATTTCATAACAACAAAAATACCATGATGCATAAATCGTACAACATATATGAAATGCAAATCAAAATTAGTAGTGCATAAAGACTGAAGGGCCACAAAGAACTTTCCCTCCTAAAAGTAAAGAGTACCTTGTTAACATCTTCTGATAAAACAGTCTCGAAAGTTCCAAATGGGAGGGCAACTGAAATCGGAATCTTAATCCATGATGGCACCCTTTCTCGTAAGAATTTGATATTGCAAGATTTTGCACCAACCTGCACAAGGTAATATCAGAACATCCTTGCTTTAAAGACTCATCAAGTGTGTTGTGATTGTTGGCGACAATTTTATACCCACTGTAGGAAAAATCAGATGAGCACCCATGATGGGCTGACTTGGCTTGATTAAACAATTAACATTATGTGTTATCATACTTAAACAAGGAAGGGTACAGTTAAGCGTCCATGACCTCATATAACTCCCTCGAACTGCTTTTATATTGTGAAAATAATGCATAAGAAAGAAAAAAGAAAGTGCAGCAGGAGCTCTCTCCTTACTCTTTCTGGTGTTCTTTTCTCCACAGAAAAGACCAGATTGTGATGTGTCAATAAGATTTGATGAATGGAGGATAAGTGCAGTTATAGGGATTTCATGTCTGACTTGCGATCTTCAGTTGGCAGATGAAAATAAACTCAGAAAGATTCTGGGAATTTTGGCACATTATCAGGAAAGGTAAGTGCCCAAATCCTTTAACTAGCCTGCATGCTTATATTGACTTGAACGAATTTCTAGATACAGTGTCATACCCATACCCACCACTGAACACACAGATAATTTTACCTCTTCAGGCACAAAATAAGCAAATCCATTTTTCAAAATCTGGAGCTACCATCAAAGTTAATCACCGTGTGCATACCATCTCAGTGGATTCAAATAAATTCTTACCAGCCTAAATTTGCAAATTTTCTGGGAATGGGATCTAAACGATTGATGAGTGTTGACAGAAGTGCTGCTGACCCCATCCTAATTAACTCCTCCGTGAAAATGTCTCTCTGACAACAGTACATACATAAGAGTTACAAAAATGAATAGCTTCTTAAAGGACTTTGGATAGAGTCCTCAGAATGATTTGAGTTCAAGAAATACATGCTGAAAAAAGATGACATACCACCCACTTTTCAATACCCAGCAAATTCCCGAGATATTGCACACTGGGCTGTATTTTATCATGGTATATCTGAGACCTATCAGCAAGTACTAATTGCAATCGATCAAGGCCAGCCTTTGCTTGTAATGCCCACAGACCATCAATGGGCTTGTATGATTCACAGATGCAGTACTAGTCCTTTGAAAGCAACATAACAGATAATGGGATACAAACACTATTAGGTATTGAAACTCATAAAATTTTAAAAAGTTGATATCCAGGAAATCTATACAAGAATGAGATCCAATATATATGCCTTAATCCATCCAATTGTTAACAAGAAAATGTTGAAGCAATGAAGTAGAAGGAAAGATATACCTTTGTGCCATAAACGAGGTCTTCATTGTTGACTGATGATAGACATAAATTTTCGAGCACCAAGGCAATGTAGAACATGATATCCTATTCACATTTATAACAAAAGGAATATAATATTTGTTTTGCAGAATTTTGACATATTAATGCTAGTTCTCAAATAAATAAGTAGGCAATGAAATTGGGAAATTTACCGGGAGATGGGCAAAGCTGAGGTCTTTGAGTCCCTTTTCCATGGTTGTTCTGACTGCTGAGGTCAAAGCAAGATCAGGGAAGAGTAAATCTTTTCTCCTCCATGAGATGTGAGCAGAAAAGGATGAAGCTCTATGCGAGATTCCAGTAACTTCTGAAACATGGTCTAAAACAAGTTAAAATGTTTCTTTTGATTTAAACATGACAAATTAATAATGCATTTGCAGAATTTAACCTCCATCAATGGACCAATATTCTCGTCAGCAACATGTGCTCTGACAAAATTCAAAGAGTCCTGTCATTTGTCAACACAAAAATGAGAACTTATGTATCATTTGCAATTCAGATATTATAGCAGATACAAACACATAAATACAGAGAAGCATCATCAAAAAATAACCACAAGAACCCAAAAAACGCACAAGCAAATTATTTTGAGCAACTGTTAATTTGAAATGAGAAGAAGGCAATTACCTGCAACTTTTGTGGCAAACCACTGACATAAATACCTCTGTCTGAACTTGTGAGGCTGCGACCCTGGAACATAAGTTGGCAAAAGGTGATAGTGGTTGTTAAAATTCAAAAGTTTGCAGTTATATTAGATGAAGAAGTGACTGAAGGAAAAAAAAATAATCCCTGAAATAGCAGTGCAAAAATTACCTTGGAAGAGGAACCCAAAAGAGCTTCAATAGCAGATTCAAGGTCAGCACCTGAGTGAACAGCCTAAGGCATTTTGAAGGAAGTAATTAGGATGATGGAGATGCTTTAAAGATGATGTTTTGATGGACATAGAAAAGAGAAAAGAAACTTTAAGAGCAGAAGCTTGCAAATACGTTTGACCCAACGTAGGAAAAAACCATCACGCCCTCAAGCGCTATCCAGAACAGGTCATTAGATAGTTAGCTGAAATCTACGTAAGTCAAATCTAACAATTTTAGACAGGTGACTCCAGACAAAGTCTCACAAGAGCCTGATCTCATTAAGTTAAATCATTATTCATGATGTGGTTGGGTCATCCAAAATAACCCAATAAGTAAGGCTCTGGTGTTGTATAGAGTTGAGACTTGAGATAAGTAATTGTTGGCCATAATTGACTTATATAGCATGTAATATTACCCGATTGATGAAGGAAATTTAGTTACGAAGGATATTGGTTTTCATCAATATCCTATTGGGTCTCCTCACTAATAAATCTTCAAATTTTCTGTTGTTGATTATTAACACTGAAAAATACCTTTTTAGCGGGAAATAAAACAGTCATGAAAAGCATGTCATATTGACTGTAGACAAGGGACAGCCAAAGTTTCTTTTATGATATAGTTAGAAAGCCATGCTATAAAAATTACACTTTAATTACTAATCAGAACAAATTAAATCAGCATACCTTTAATGTTTTCAAATACATAGTAAGGTCACGGGTAAGACCCTCTCGAGCATCAGTCGGGAAATGTGGTTCTGACACAATTGGACGGTCATAACTTGCAAGCTTCTTCTTTGTGAGACCATTTGCCTTTAATGTTTGCCAATAAACATCAATCCTAAAACCACATCTTACATAATTTAAAAGTGCCTGTTAAAAAAGAAAACGATACATGTTACTTAGCTAATTTCAATTTAGCATGGATTTTTCAATCTCAATTCACTTGGGTTCATGATTTGTAATAGTTGGCACTAGTGGACTTGATCTTGAAAAAGATTAGTCCATATCACAAGGGGATCTTACCTCAGAAACATCACAGGGTAGAACAGACTTCTGAAAATGCTAACCAGAAAAGCTTTTAAATAATAACAGGATACTTTATATTCAAAGAAAAGGATTTACGTAAATGTATAAATGCATGAATGCATGTATGTGTATAAGAAGCCACTGAGTTCTTGACAGGATTGATGCCAGTTTTGGACCAATAAATCCCTTTACATTTTTTAACCATCATACCTCACAAATTATTACATCATCAGGGCTCGTATTGTTGTGCAACTTTTGGTGCCATTCTTCCATCATACCAGTCTTGCAGTCGTTATTCCTCTGAAGGAAATGCAAGCATAACTTTTTTTTCACAAAGTTGAAACAACACAAATAATTACTGTGATATATTCAACTACCTGAACCAGAAGTATTTCATCACGAATTCTCTGCCCAACGTCACCTTGACCTCCACGACCAACACATGACAATATTAATCTCACAATCTCTCTATCATTAGGCTGGTTCAGATATATTCTCTGTAATAAATTGGTGAACCTATCCTGAGCTTCACTAATTTCACTGCAGAGACAGAGAACACATAGAGTATTTAAGTACTCTCAAACAAAGCATATATAAATCTTTGTGGACCCCTGTTTTTCTCATAGAAATCCATCTCAGAGGAAAAATACGAGTGCATAAAACAAATACAAGATGCATTAAATTAATACGTGGAAAGATTGTCAGTAGGTGTAATTCAAAACAGTCAAGTTCATGCTTCATCTAGCAACAATGACACTGATTTTTTTTTTCCAACATCATTTACCATCTCTAAGAATGAATCCTACCAATTTAAAAGCGAAAGGAAGTATTAATCTGCATAATGAGGAAAGGATGCAGCTTGGAAACACTGTTTACAGTTTTTGAACAGATGAGGTAGGCTCATCTACCATCACTTCCTCCAGTACACATAAACTAGGGATATACTTTATAAAGAAGGCATTCCTCCCAAATGATGATCTTTGTATGACGTTATAAGGATGAATATAAGTCCAAGATAGACGCACAGGACGTTTACTAATTAAGCGGAAAAGTTGACATATGATGTACTATTATTTTCATGTCTGTATCTTGGCAAAATAAGTTTTAGTTAGTTGAAAATATGAAATTCAAGGTTTGAACTAGAAGCATGCTAATCAGAAATTGTGTTTTGCAGGAACTGCTCCAGATGCAGGAGATAAGAAGGCAGCCTAAGCAGGAGTGAAATTTTGCTTTCCATACAAAGACATTGATTTAACTTGTAACTAAAATTTATTGAATAGAATGCCATTAAAATACATGACTAGACAAGGAACCCAATACTAGTATTGAAGTCAAGATCTAGCAATGACGTTATCAATCAGAATTAAGGAATACTAAAACTTTACCGAGGTTTCACATTGTAATTCTTGTTCCAAGTGAGATGCCTGCAAGCCATGAACCTTAACCAAACCAATATGCCTATAAGGCCCAACTCCCCCTCGACCTTAGAGCGTTCTGTCAACTCTGTTGCAATGTTGAACCTATGTGCATTAAGAAGAAGTGATAGTTATGCTGTTTTCATGAACATGTAGTTGGAACCACAAAGAGGATAACAAAAAATATGAAATCAAACCAAATTCATTCATGGAAAATTGGGGTACTTAATGCATCTACAATGCCCTAACTATCTATCATCTATAATCTCACCTGTGCATCAGTGACCTCTCAGCCTCCTTTTCTCTCCGGGATATTTCATCAAGTAAATATTTGGCAATTCCTTTGCCATTTCTATCAACCTGTACACAATATGCACGAACAGTCTTACGCAAGTGCACAAAAAAGACTGCAAATGATTGAACAGTTCAGATATAGATAAAATCCAAAATGCTATTTGATAGAGACAAAAAGGTCCATTAGCTAATTGAACAGAGTAAAATGAGAGCTTCGATGTACTTCAGCCATAGAAAGTTCATGAGATTAAGAGATGGAAAATCTTGATAAGATAAGCATATCCGAAGGAAGAAGGGAGCTGTTGATGAAGATAATGTCACCCGTTGTCGCAGCTAAAATGTTCCGGTAGATAAACAATCATTTTTTTGGTGCAATCCCCATCCTAGATTGTTATCGACCGTTCTTGGAAAATTTTGTTGATATCCCATGTTACTGCTGTCAACCTTAGTGAATAGTCCTCTTAATAATAATTAGTAATATGTTCCACAGATTCATGCTTCTTTATTTGATAATAATTATTATATCTTTCTAAAATAGTTGAAAAAATGCATGTAAGCAAATTGATTATAGAGTTTAGCACCATGTGATGACCATGGCATCAGGACCCACAAAATGTCATAAAAAAAGTGTAATTCTTATTTTCCCTTTCAATGTATTCACATGGTATTTCCTTAAATGAAAAGCAACTAACTAGTTACTTAAAACTAATAGAGGAAAAGAGCGGTATACCTTTCCAGGTGGATTGATTGACTTCAGGCCTACAAAGAAGTTTGCCCCATTATTTTTTATCCATGAACCACCTGACCAGATCACAAATTGGATACCAACAAAATAAAGAATTTAAAAAGATAACTGACAGTAAAAAGCATTATGCATTCATGAAAATTCATTTTCCATTAAACTACCGATAATGAGCATTATTGATGATATTTACTCTTTTGGATGTTGATTTTAGATTCTATATGCTGAATTATGTTTATCTTGTGATTTAGAAAATGATTAGAGTCATAAGAATAAAAGTGTGTTAATTTGGGTGAATTTCCTATTCAAGCAGATTGACCTTTAAAAGAAAAAACAAAGATTTTGCATCCTTAGAGCTGCAGAATATAAAAAAGATGCGCAAATCTATTCAGTTTTGGGTTGTCAAAGTCAGTTGCAAAGTTAAGGAAGAATCCGGAAGAAATTCGGATCCAGTGACAGTCCAAAACACTGACTAGTGTTTGGACCATATCTAGAGTTATACATATCAGATTGAGACAATTCAAAACCTACAGAAAGAAGACATCCAGGCCTACAATCTTTATGACGAGCCCAAGTCCAGATTCTGCCTTCTTCTGACCCTAATTCAATTCGAAAGTTTCAGCATAAGCTAGATTCCTACTCAAGAAACAAGTCCTAGTCAAATTTGAAAACTAGCTAAAATAGGACTTTTGTTGGCTGTCATATTTATCTCTTTACATGTATAAATAGTCTCTAGGGCTGCACATTAGGGACAAACTTTACTTTACACAGTTTCTTTATTATTTCAAGTTTATGCATCAAGCAATGTCTAGCTAAATTCATCAATTTAGTTCAAGGGATTTGAACTTCAATTTGTAAAAGATTGTGAGACATAGGTTTGATCTTTAAAATATCCTTAATGATTTGAGCATCTTTTGTTTCTCTGAACTTAATTAATTGATTTTTGAATTTAATTAATTCTGATTGCATTGGTAATTGTTTAAGACGCCTATTAGTTCATTATCTGTTGTGGTTGATTGCTAGCTAACTTTCTTAATACGTAATTGTTAAGAAAAGTTAATAGAAGTAGCAAATAAGGTTCGGTTACCTAAGAAAATAAAAGGATGAATTAATGATTTAGACACAATAAAATTATTGTTCAGTCTTCCCTATCTTTCTAATTCTTAATGCTATTTTTTTCTTAATGCTATTGTTAATTAGACTAGGATTGCGTCAATACTGAAATCAATCAATAATAAGAAGACATGAAGTTTTCTGTTAATAAATTTAGGAAAGATTCGTGTTTATTCTAGCATGTAGGTAAATCTAGGCTAAGTATTCCATGAAAGAATAGTGATTTAGGTGTCAATGATTAATCATCAAATTGAATGTTTGAATTTCCCTTTGAATTCTTAATGCTATTTTTAATTAGACTAGGATCGTGTCAATACCGAAATCAATAATAATAAGAATTTAATTCAAATGTGAAGTTTTGAGTTAATGAATTAAGGAAAGATTTGGGTTTATTCTAGCGTCTAGGTAAATCTAAGCTAAGTATTCAATGAAAGAATAGTAATATTTAGGTGTCAATGATCAATCTGCAAATTGAATATTTGAATTTTTCTTTGAACTAAACTTTTCCTAAATTGAAATCTTATTTTATTTTTGCTTTGTCATTAATTTGGTTTTGCACAAGAAACAAATCCCCCTTTATTTAGATAAACTAAGTTGATTGTCAGTCTCTAGGGTTCGACCTAGATTTGTCATTGCTACAAAATTTGGTAAGAAAAGTAAATTAAATTTGGTGTATTCGACATGCATCAACTACCTGAAAGAATCCCTTCCTAGTGGACATCTCTGAAAAATAAGTCTGACAAGCACCAGCAACGAGTTTTGATTTTCCAGGCAACATTTCTGGTGCTGGGGCCTACAACCATTGAAAAAAAAACTATGAGATGAAGTGACAATAATATACAGACAGTTGATCAAATAAATATGATCTTAATACGTTAAATTCCTCAAAATTTTAGGAATAACTGACCAACCATTCCCCAGAAGACAACTTTGATACACCCCAGTGAAGAACTACAGTTCCTTTTATGCTTGTACCAACAAATATGTGATAGTCACAATTAATGACTTTAGTAAGAACCTGATAAGCAAAATTAAACGGTCAAACAAGGAACTTGTGTTTACTTTCTGAAGACCCTCTGCAGTAAACATAAAAGGTAATATTTGGATTCCATTCCATTGGAAGTTAACAATCACATTCGCTTATATAAAAGCTGGAATCCAAGTTTGAAAATTAAACATTCACTTTTCACACATGTCTATACACCAACATTTCTGCATCCTCACGAGACAAAAATGTCTTAAAGATCTGAACTTCATGACAGGGCGATTCAGAGAGTATGAGAATTCTATACATGAGCCTCGCTTCTCTGTCTCTATAAATTATGGTAAATGGTTAGAAATTAAAACTTAACAATGACTACAACAGTTATGTCTACAAGATCCATTAAAGATGAAAATGGCATATTGGCGCTTCTGGCATGGCCAAATGAAGGCCTGTGCAACCACCGCTCCACATCATGCCTTCTTTGATAAGCAGATGGCATTCCACTTCTACATTGCACTCTAGTATCAATTGATGTGTTGATACTTGCATTAGTACAACTATTTTTTAAATCATCCAAAGAACTTCCTTTTGAAAACTGACTTTGGAGCTTTCTCAAGGCATCATCACAGTTTTTCTGCACAAACTGCAAGTTTAAAAAAAAAAAAAAAAAAAGACATTGATAAGGAAGATGAAGCTGAGAGAAAAAAATAATAACAGCAAACAAAAATGATGTACAGTTATATAAGAACACGTGGGGTCTCTCTCTCTTTCAAAAGCTACAATAAAATCAGAAACTCAGTGGCTGTATAGAAACATACACATAAATATGACGTTCACAGCAGTTAAAACTGTTCTTGGTATCTTCTAAAAAGTTATGCACATAATTCCCCCCAGTTATACATCCCAATTTCAATAAAACAAAAACATGAATAGAGACGGCTGACAAATCTGCTGTCGTTAAAGACATAGCGAAAGTGCATGTATTTGAAAATTAAACCATGCAACTGGCACAAAGTTTGAGGAATAGTGCAAAGACAATATGCGGCAGGTCTCACATTCTAGACAAAGAATATGATAAATAGACACAAAGCAAATGGGAAAAACTACCTTTTGTTTCTGTGGCGAATTTATTGGTCTGCCCTTATTTTCCCAGATTGGATATGCCTTGCTTGCTAGCAAATCCTTTGATACTGGTGGATAAATAGTACTTTCATCATGTTCAGGTAGCTCAACTCGGAAATTCCCATTGTTCAATTTCAACCTAGAAAGAAAGCAAGAGAAGAATTAAAAAAATTAATTTAAATTAAAAGCCATTAGTAAAAGATCAATGAAAGAACCAACCATCTATCATGACCCCCATCTTTCAACACAAATTCAATGGCATGAATCTTAGGGTCCCGTAACTCAATATTGACCACGTATAAATCTCCACTCTACAAAATGAACAGTCAATTTCATCAACAAAACATTACTTCCAAGCAAATAGGCGTAGCCAGATGGATGGTATCCAAAGAAATACGGACAACAAAGTGCATAATGAAGATAGACCTTTGTAAATGGTGTCTGCAATGCACCTTTCTTTGCTCCTGAAGCTTGATATGTAGGAACAAACCAGTTACTGTAGAAAAATAGAAATCTTCTTAATTATACAGTAGTTAGAAACTATCTATAAAAGGTGGTGAATACTAAGTTAAGTTCGTCATTATGGCTGTACGCATTTCCACGATAAATGAAACCCCAGTGAAGAATCCAAGTCCTTGTACAGTTCTTGATTTGAAGTTCAACTCTCACATTGCGCCCATGCAACCATCCAGAAATATTAATCTACAGCAACCAAATCCAAAAAACAATAAAATAAATAAAGAGTACGAACACAGAAAAATTATTAACGCATTCTCCCATGCATGACCAATCAATCACAAATTACGTGCAACAAATAGAAATCAAATTGATACCTGAAGTTGCATCCCTTCTACAAGCTGAAAACACTGAACCCGAGGAACCTTCGAGGATGCCATAATACCAACTGTTTATTCATGTACAATAAATCAAATGGACATCGAAAATCGTACCAAATCAGGTGTTTCAATCGAAGTTTAATAAACGATTAAGCTTGAATTGAAGAGTGAACATAGAAAAAAGCATAAAGGAAGATTGTTAGAGTTTAGGATTTCTCACAATTAAATTAGGGTTTTTCTTGTAATGTCAAATAAAAGTAAAAAAATGTCTTTCAATAATTGATTTCCTTGAAGACAACAGCCATCATATCCATACATTTTCTTTATTTCTTGCCGATCATGCCTTTTTATATGCTTTTTTTAGAGAAAACTTGATAATGAAAGAGAATTAGGGTTTCTTACTAGATGATGAGGGAGAGGGAATCTTGGCAGTGTTTCGAATCGGATTCTAAAACGACGATGGTAGATAGAAAGATCCAAGGAAAGAAAGCGATCAAAAGTCATACATTATGATTCTCAAAGATAAAAAGCCAAATTTTCGAAAGTGACGCGAACATTGATCCCCACTGTGGGATAAAAGAAGGGATGCTAAAATCGCCATTAACGATCAGGGAGGGGGTGGGGTGGGGGGTGGAGGCACTTCAACGGCACAATTCCGCGCTTTGACGCGGGTGTGTGAGATACACCGCGTTTTATAGACGCATGATAGGATAGCTTAATAGCGTGTTTGAGCTTTTAATTTACGCTTTCTCGAACGGCTAGTTTGAGCGTTTAAACGGTGCGTTCAACTTTCTCCGTTTATACGGTGCTTTTATATATTTATTATATTTTTTGGTGGGTGGGGGGAAGGTGGGCCCTCTATCTATCTACGTATACACATGTAAATGCATAAACAAATCATACAAAATTCACCAAAATTTTTCATTGAAGTTTTCTCACCATCTGCTTTTTTATTAGATAGAGAATAATTAACAATTCTAAATGAATGTGCATAGAGGATGAAGAATATAAGCAATGTGCATTTTTTTAAATACATTTTGTTTGATTTTAATCATTTTTTTTCCACCAAACGAAGTTTAAATCTGCAAATAAAAAGTTGGAAAAAAAAAACATTATATACCTTACAAGTTTATCATTTCATTTAAGTAAATGTTTTTAAAAACAAAATTTTTGCAAATTTATGAAAATTGACCTTGCATAAATATAAAATATTTTGGTGAAAAAAAAAACCAAAATATATTTATCTTAATGTAAGTATGCTTGAAGACATGGAACACGAACTCGTTAAAATTTGGACTTGAATTTGTACACGGAGACAATGCAAACTTCCAAGCTAAAATCAGCGAGAGATTATGGATGAAGCTTATGACTGTCATTTCTCCATGACGAATGGTATTGACTTGCACAAAATCACACCAAACCATAAAGGAGACGTAAAATATTTTCCTAGTAAAAATTCTTTGAAATATATTCATTATTGGTTATTTTCACTTAAACCAAATAAGGATAATTACACCAAAATACATTAAGGAGACGTGAAAAATTCTTTAAAATATATTCATTGTTAGTTATTTTCACTTGAACCAAATAAGGATAATTACACCAAAATACATTCATTGAAACCAAATATATCTATAGAATAACAAGGATAAGCTAATTCATGATTAAAAAAAAAAAAACACAGAAAAAGTAATTAATTAATCTGCATAATGCAAAATCCACATCATGATGCAATTTTCATAGAGTAAAAAATATTTGTCTCACAGGGACATATGATTAGTTAGTCTTTCATTAGTGAATCAAAATGATATCAAATTATTAATTTGGTTGATGAATGCTTTTGAATTAGCACTGTCAATGCTTCTTCACTTGTGCCAAGATTTAATTCCACCAGCTCGCCGACTGTTGCCTGATCACCGTTTTCTTAATTTTCCACTTACTGTTTCGTCATTATATAAAACTCACATTCCATCACCAGGCAACTGTTCAGCCGCCGCCCCAGCGGGATTGAAACCAGCTTCCACTAACAGTAGGGCTAAACTAAATTTGTATTAAGTTATTCCTCTCAAGATTGCCTTCGTGCAAACACTTGCATTCAAACAGGAGAAGTGATTAATATTTAACAAATACTGCCGCCTACAAATTCGTAGTTTCATGATGTTATCCTTAAATTCGGTCATATTCCTAAGTATATCATCTTCTCAGCGTATTAAATAAAATGAACAAGACCTAGTGTCCAATACGTTCATCAAGTACATCATCAAATAACAGTAGTTGGAACTTGGAAAAGGTTGATGGCCATACAAGAAGTGTTCAGCTTTCCACAGCAAACAAGTCTTGCACCCTTTGCAGCTGCCATCCACCTCTACAACAAGCAGATAACCAGTTCTCCACAACCTCATTGTGTAAGCAGCTTCGAGTCACATGCCACTATTTTAACACGGCCAACAAGCTCCTGGGAGTCCTCATTCTTAAACAAAGCATCCTGTAAAATGAAGGTCCAAACATTGTCGCAGAATCTGTAGGTATGCAGATGTCCCTGTAGCACCCACAATCAGGAAAATAATGAGTCTTTCCAATTGCTACATTAAGACATAAAATACAATCTTCATCAAGGAAAATTTAGACAGGAGGAGTTCCAAGGTTAAAAACCCAATTTTTGCAGGGGGTATGCCATTGAACAGATTATAAATATGAACTCCTTTATCAAGATCAAGCCCAAAAGGAAAAGAACAAACAAAACAAATGATACTAATAGCAATGTAGCATTAAATGCAGACATAAAAGGTTCTGCATGATTAATTATTGATAACAAAACCAATAAGTCTAAAGTAAAGAACCAAGAACACGAGAGATTCCTGCAACCCCTCCCCCCCCCAAAAAAAAAAAAAAAATCCATAAAAAGGAACCTTGCCAAACTCTCACCATAAGAAAAGGTTCTGGAAAAAGGGTGAAGGGAAAAACTTCAAATGGACATGACATTCAATTTCTAGCCACCTGCCTTCTAAGCACAGTGATACTTAATCTCTTCATTAATGTGAAGCAAAGTTCAGGAAATCTGAAACATCCAAAAATAATATGGAAATGCAATTAGCAACCATTACCAAGCGATCCTTCCCTCCCAATCATTCTTTAAATGTTCTTCTCACTGCACCACCTCACCCATCATTCTATTGCTTCAATCCATCACCAAGTCACTGCTAATGCACGATACTCAAAAATTCAGCCATAATGCCGTATCCTTTTGCTATGCAGATTCAATTTGTTTTGAAGGCTATGCCAACAACCAGTGTCAACCACAAAAGATTAACGCAAAAATGCAACATCTTAAGGTAATTACTAGGACTTTCCTCCTCTTCAATTTTTTTCCTCCCAAAGCCCAATCAAAACAATATAAAAAGTTCTTTTTCCAATCAGTCCAACAATAGTGCTATGTAAATGCAAATTTGTAAAACATACCATATGTAGTTGGCTGCATAAAAAGATTCCAACATAATATGGCAGTTAATACGGAAGAGTGGATCAACAACAGATATACATAGAAGCACAGGAGGCTCCATTAGGTCTCTAAGCAGTAAGGACCGGGGGAGGATAGAAATAGGAAGAAAATCCGGAAGACTACGAGGTTGCAAATTTCAAATTCCAGTCCAGACCAAAGCTATATCAAAAGTTCCAATATTAATCTTCATTCCAAAATTTTTAGGAATTCATACTCACCAAAGTAATAACATGGAAGAAGTGAATTTCTGTAGAAGCTAGTTAATGAAGGTTTTGAAGAGTCAATTTCAATTGCCTAAGCAGCTGCTCAGGAAATAGCCACTGACCCATACAGCAATGCTCACGGACTGTTAAGCTTATGCCATAATCAGTTGTGAGTTTGAACATTCAAACATGCAATCGGGTCTTGAGTATGTGACATTTCCTCCTAGAGAACAACAAGCATATAGTTTTGTTTTCCTTAAACAAATTACATCCAATCAATACAACGTGTAGAACAATAGATGGTTCCATATCAGCAACACTTTGATCCATAAAACTTACTCTGGCTTCTTTGGTAAGAAGCCAGTTTTGTCTTCAAAATATTGTCAGACAAAAGACTCCTAAAGTTGAGGAATTTTTTAAGGAAGAGTCTAGTCTTATCATTTACAAATCAAGATGGTTCAAAAACTTCTTTATAATCCAAGTCAACCACATGGAGTTATGATCTGGCAAAAACTTCAAAACTATGGTTAAAATCGATATTTAGACACCTAAATGGCAGAAATGGTAATTAATAATCACGGGATGTTGCTGTTTGGTTGTTCAACAGAAGTTCCCCTGTTTATATTACATAGGCTCCTCATCTTCTCACGGCCCAATCATAGAATAATGAGCTGAAAACTATTTCACATCTTCAGAAAATAAAGTGAAACACGCATACAGGAACACAAGCACGCAACACTTTCAGAAACTGTTGGACTTTCAGATCATTGCTTTTTTTTCTTGGCCAAAATCAACAGGGCTATCGAGGATATATACATGGGTGATGTTGACTAGGAATCACAGTCAATCAGAGACCAGATCCATTTCTGTAGCAGAGTCAAAATGTACTAACTTTTAATTGTTAACTAAACTGTTTATAACATTATCGTTTAGCACAGAAGGATTATTTCGGGTCCATTTAACATCCATAAAACTGTTATCCCGGTTTGCTTTAAACAACGAGTGTTCAAAATCAATTAACAAAAGATGCCAATTGTAACAACTCAATAAAACAGGAAAAAAAATGGAAGAAATTACCTTAATTGAGACTTTGCTCTTCACTTGTGTTTCCAAAGCTTCAGTCATAGACTAAAACACAAAAATTAAAAATTAAGAGAAGAGAGAAAAAAAAAGTCATTATCAAACTGGATAAGGTGTGATTTATTTGTACCTTATCAAACTGAACAAGGACCTGGAAGGCTAGCTCAGGACTTAGAGTACCATTTTGAACCATCTCATCGAGAGTCTCCGTCAAGCACATCCCGATCGTCGATCTTCTGTACAGCTCAAACGTCGCCATTCCCAGAGATCTGTAAATCAAGCACAAATAATATACTATAGATTTGTGCAAAAAGTGGGCGAATCAATGAAATTCGTAACGGAAGGGAAATTAAAATTACCGATCGGTGGAGTTGGTGCTTTGCTGTGGTTTAATTTAACGTTTATTTGAGGGAAGAATTTTTGGGCGGAGAGGATTTGGGGCCTTATATACCCTAGTTTTTGAGGATGGGGGATTTTATACTCGCGATTGATTTGGAATGTCCGAATTGACTGTTTTGCCCTCCGTTTTGTGTCTAGCTTTCTCTATCCTAAGCCCATGTTATTTTGTGGGCCAACCGCTTGATGCGTAAGCTTGGGCTACGGATATCAAGAGATTGTTAAATAATTAATATCCTGGAGTCCTGGTATATTTCTTCTGCTTGCATAAAATTAGAATATATATATATATATATATATATATATATTATTACAATTACGAGAAATACTAAAAGAAAACGAAAAAAATGCTACACTGTTCATTTACTGTTTGTCTTTTTTTTTTTTTTCGCCTGCTTAGCCAAGCTTTTACGAAATTTTTTTTATTTTGGACTCTGATTTGTAATATCTTTTTTTATTTTAGTCATTAAAAATTTATTATATTTAATTTTTATCCCTATAATAAATATTAAAAAAAATTTCAAGTTCCTTAGCCAAGCTTTTAGGAATTTTTTTTATTTTGATCCCTGTTTTGTAATATTTTTTTATTTTGATTATTAAAAATTTATTATATTTGATATTTATCCCTACAATAAATATTAAAATTTTATTATATTTGATTTTTACCTCTGTAGTAAATATTTTTTCTTGGATTTTATTAAAAAAATTATATTCTTTTTTTTTTGTGATATGTTTTTTATTTTACTCATTAAAGTTTTATCATGTTTGATTTCTATACTTATTATACTTTTTTTTTTTTGTAGCCAAGCTTTTAGGGAACTTTACTTTTTATTTTGATCCCTGTTTTGTAATCTTTTTTTTTCATTAAAATTTAATTATATTTGATTTTTTTCCCGATAATAAATATTAAAATTTTGTTATATTCGATTTTTATCCTTATAATAAATATATTTTTTAATTTTAGTAAAAATTTATGCTCTTTTTTAGTTTTTATTTTGTGATATGTTTTTATTTTATTTATTAAAGTTTTATCATGTTTGATTTTTATCTTTACTATGCTAAAACTAAATAAAGTTTACTATCCTAAGCTTTTTTTTTTTTTTAGTAAAACTTTTCTTTCTATTATCATCGCTATTTTGTGATTTTATCTTTATTTTGACGATTAAATTTAGTAGAATTTTATTTTGTTTTAGTCCCTGTTTTGTAATTATTTTTTATTTTGATCATTAAATTTTTATTATATTTTATTTTTTTCCCTACAAGAAACTATTTTTCACTTTTAGTAAAACTTTTTGTTATGTTTTGGTTTTTGTTTTGTGATCTTTCTTTTATTTTGATTATTAAATTCTTATTATATTTGATTATTATTCATTTTACACTAAAATTAAATACAGCTTTCACTATTCTAAGTTTTTTTTTTAGCTTTTAGTAAAAAACATTTTTTTTTCTTATTTTGTTAATTTTTTTATTTTTGTTATTAAAATTCTATCATGTTTTACTTTTTTTCCAACCTTTTGCATAATGAATTTTTTTTTAGTCATATTATTTATAAGTAATTTTTTTTTTTTTGCTTTTAGCGAAAGTTTTTTATTTATTTTCATTCTTCTTTTATGATCTTTATTTTGATTTGATTATTTAATTTTTATCGTATGTAATTTTATCTCTTTTTTTTCTTTTTTTTTTTTTTTGCCAAATTTTCAATTTGACAAAGCTTCTTTGTCTTTTTGTTTTTGATAGTCTCTTTATCTCATTAACAAAACACGGATGAATAATTATGATAAAAATTAATAATCTACAATTTAAAAAACTATCACATCATTATTTTAATTATCAGTTATTATAAATATTTTAAATAAAATACATGTTTATATCAAACAAGTATCTAATCAGCAATATTATATTATTCAACTTTGTAAACTTTTCGTTTAGCTAACCCCGCAGTAAAATATGAAATATATGTTTTGGTTCTTTTTTTAAAAAAAATTTCTCGTGATCCTTTTAAATAATTATTTTTAAATTTTGTATTTTATATAAATAAACACATAAAAATTTTATATAACTCACCCCGAAGTAACACGGGAGATATATGCTATAGTGTGCGTGTGCGTGCTTGTGTGTGTATATGTATATGTATATGCATATGTAGAGAGAGAGAGAGAGATTAAACAAACTTTTATTTGTGTAAAAGAATATGACAGTAGGCTTCTCTTCAATTGGGCGTTTCAATTGGGCGTTCGGTTTTGTATGGCTATATCACTTGTTTTAAATAAGTTTTTTATTTTCTGATATGGTAACATAATAAGCGTGTATATTTTAAAAACTTTCACAGTAGAATATGTTCTTTTTTTTTAAAAAAAAAACATATATATAATTTCAAAATTATAAAAATCAAGTTAGATTTGAAGAGGTAGTATGGAAGATATGAAAACAACTGATGGCATAAAAAATAATTTTGAGAGAGATTTTTTTTTCTGCTTTCTTAAAAATATAAAATGTACTTTTAGTTATGCAAAACATTAAATTTTATTTTATTTTTTTCATTTTCAGATATGGTTAATGTTATAATTTATTTTTTATTATAACTATAATATAAAAATATTTCTCTTTTTTTAGTTACTCAGCATAGCTTTTCATGATAATTTTAATTAGAATGAAATAAAAATAATATTTTGTATTTAGATTATCACAAATAAAATTAAATTGAGATGACTATTATAAATTATAGTTTCACTTTTTTAATGAAAAATGGAAATTCACTTCTTTTTTTTTTTTTTTACTTTAGGTTAGAAAGGAAGAGAAATTTAAAGTTATTAGGTTCTGTTACGTTAGTTTTTACATTCATTTTTATATTTTCTTAGAAAAGTAAAAAAAAAAATGGAGGGAAACTTCCTTCTAGAGATGTTTCTTCATGTCATGAGTGCTATGACTAATTTGTTATATCATCAATTAATATCTATATTATAATTGCCACCTCAATGCTTAAATGACATATATGCCACATATTCAAATTTTACTCGACTAGTTATAATTTTAAGAGTGCATACATTTATTTGAAAAAAAAATTGACACGTTTGATTGTAAAAATTCCTAAAGTACACATGTTTATTGTGTTATTATCTCCTTTTCTTTCATAGTTTCATTTCAAACTTTAGGCTAACCTGTTTTGTTGATATATATATATATTAAACTAATTTTCTAAATTCTAACAGAATGAGAATGGATTAGAATCTAATTAATATCTTTTGGACCTTTCATATTTAAATTTTAAAAAATATGATGTATTTTGATTCACAATTCCGTGGAGGAGTAAATTATAAATGAATCCCTCTCGTTTCAAAAAATAATTTAATTTATCTATCTTATTTTAAAAATTAATTATTTGATTATTTGATTAGTGTTGATCATGTTTAATTTTAATATTATTTTATTCTAAAAAATATTTTATTTTCCCATCAATATTTCCGTAATATACATTTATGTTTTTTCTATTTGTTAAGAACAAGACAAACTATAAATGAACATAAAATGAACAAAAAAGGATTAAATAATTATTTTTTTTAAAATAGAAATGATTAATTTGTTTCTTAAAATTAAAAATATTAATCTATAATTTACTCCTATTAGAGTTATTAGATAACATGTAGAAATGACATGTTACATTACAAATCATTACAAAAAAAAGATTAATTAAAATAAAACATTTGAACATTTTGGATTTTCCCTGATCATTTTCTAAAGATTAATTTTCAGTGCACATAAATTGAAACTTTTAGATTTGTTGAATTTTTGCTTTAATTTTACTTTGATTGTGAATTTAGTTTTTTTTATGATGAAACAATTGATTTTCACATAAAATTCAATAGACTATTTGGATGAAATTTAATGGAGGTGAATTTCAATCAGAGCACCTCATAATTCAAGCATGCATGTAAACTTCAAGGGTCTGGTCTAAAGGTAAAAAAGAAAAAATGATAGTATCCTTCGTGATTATATTTGTAACCTAAAAATGAGTTTTTAAAATTGTTTATAGAAAAAAACTTAATATCACTAATGCACAAACTAATTTGAAGATTTCTCTTATAGTCGAAGAAATAAAAATAAAATATACTTGGAGATAGTAAGTAGAAGCATTTAGTGTCATGATCAAAACCTGTGTTCGTTCTTTGAAATATTGTTAACACCATGCTTACTAAGAAGATGAAGCTAGAAAGAACAGATTTGGTTCAATCTCTATTTCATTTTCTTCCTTCCTCATCCTCTCCATAACAAGCAAGGAAAGAAACAAAACTAATGTTGTATTTGTTTCAAGAAAAATAAATTTTAAATTTTTTTTTTCTATTTTTCAATATTGTTTCCTATTTTTTTTTGAAATTTGATTTTCAGTCAATGAAAATTAAAAGACTATTTTTGAGAAAGTAACGTCCGAGCTAAAAAAGAAGAAAATATTTTTTTCTTTCTCTCACGAGTCGTTTCACTCTCACGTTACCTCTCTCTCTCTCTCTCTCTCTCTCTCTCTCTCTCTCTCTCTCTCTCTCTCTCTCTCTCTCATATATATATATATATATATATATATATATATATATATATATATATATATCCATTGTTGTCCATCCTCAGTCCTCACACAATGATCAATGATCACAATGATTGTAACATGTAGCCCACCTAAGGACCTCCCCGCCACTCAATGTTGCTGCAACAAACCTAACACCACTGTCGAGCAAAAGAATGGCTAGATCTGAATTTTTTTTTTTTTTTGAGAGATAACTATGTTAATATAGGGTTTGGGCATGTCAATTATTGGTGATTTGATGCATCTTCTTGCTAATATTGTCTAAAACTATGTGTTTGTTTGTTTGTGCATCTTATCCCTCTTGGGTTTATCACTTCCTTCTCTTAAATCATAATAATTAATCACATATCTAGTTTTTTTCTTGTTTTTGATCTCTTTTTTATTGCTTTCTTTGAATTGTTGGGAATTTTGTGGATTTTTGATGAAGAATTTATCTGTAATTCAGTTTATTTTTATATTTTAATTTTTTATATCAAATAAATGTTGAAATATTTTTTAACAATTTTTTCATGTAATTGTAAAATATTAAAAAAATATTATTTTAAGAAATAATTTTATAAAAAATATTTTTTTAAAAAATAATTTTTTCTATATAAAGTTGTTTTTTGTAAAACAAATGGAGTGTAAATCATACCTAAACTCGATTCCTTGTTCCCATCGATGTTCGTGCTGATTTGATTTATCTTAAACACTGGAAGTCAGAGGCTTAGAGCCACGAAAACTGTGTTTTTTTTTACCATGGAAACTGTGCCGGTGTATCTCTGTAGGGTTTTTGAATTAAACTGGTCCAATAAAAGCAGAAGCTCCAACAAACTGGTCTTCATATAAAGCCCAACAGAAGAACCAAACAGATCATTAAAATATATACGACGAAAGTTTCTATTTAGGCCCATGGATTTTGCTAATTTAAATATCAGTAGAAACGAAACGTGGGTTGCTTTAGAGCTACCACGTAAAGAGCAGAACGCCGAAAACTGTGAAGACGTGTAAAACAGGAATACGCACCCTCGAGCAAAGAAAAACCAGCAGGACTTTCCCTCTTTGTTGCAGCTGGGATTATTTCTACTCGAATTTGCTTTCAAAGAAGAGAAGGATTCATGGACAAGATTAGGCCATCACCGTCACCACCTCCACCAACTAGCTCCACCACAATAACGGCCCCAGACACCAAGAGAAACGAAGAACTGTCAGTGATGTCACGCATGAAGAAAGACTGCTTATTTTTCACAGTTTCATTGAAAGAGAGTTTTAGCTATATCAAAGCTATATTCGTGGGTCAGGCAAAGAAGATGACGGCAAGAAGTGAGAAGGAAGCAGCAGCAGCAGAACTACAAGCTGAGAAAATGCAAGTTGAAGCTGCTAATGAAGCTGAAAATGTCAAGAACAAAATTGACAAATCTATGTAAACCTCAACGATATGTACATATACACTATATTTATTCATATTTTTGTTGTTTATCAATATTATTGGCTTTGTATATAACGTAAATGGTCCTACTGTTACAACTTGATATCATATATATATATATAATTGAAGTACAGAGTTGATGAATGGGAATTCAGTTTAAGGAGGTCTAATGATATCACAATTTGCTAATTAGAAAATGAAATTCTAAGTAATTAGTTGTCAGAATTAGAAGATGCGGGGCCTTCTAAACGTATGTAGTCATACATGATTCCTTGGAAAGCGCTGGTGGCCATAGTTTGAGTCAAGAAAACAGTATTATCCTCTTCCACGAGCTGAGAACCTGGCACTTCTATGTTGTAAAGCCAGTAGAGTCCATGGATTCCATGTCTCGCAATTGTGTTGTCATGCCCAATTACTCCAGTTGAAAATAGGGGTGGATTTGTTACTGGATTATTGATGCGAACCTTCAAGAATAAATTAATAGACGTAATCAACTAGTAAATTAATATCCGGATAAACCAGGAGGAAGTGAAAGGAGTTAACAAAAATGAATAACGATACCTGCAATTCAGCAACATTTGCAGTTGCAAGTGCTAATCGTAGTTTGTATGATCCACGCTTTTGTACATCGTCAAGTTTGAACTTGATCTTCCATGTAGTTCCTTGATATGAATCATCATCTTTCTTCCTGAAATGCACAAAAAGCTTCTTAATTATGAAGAACATAAAACCTAGACTACAGACTATGATCATTTTTTATGACACAAATGTCTTGAATTCATTTCCCATTCAAAAATTTATTTGTCTATATATATATGTGTGTGAGTGTGTGTGTGTGTGTGATGATGAAGAAAAACATCTAGGAGGAATCAAACCTTGTAACTTGAGCGAAGAACCAATCTTTTGCATAGTCACTTGTCCCAACCGTGTAAACCAAATCTTCGTTAGGGTATAAATCTGCATACCTTTCCCATAATCCGTACTGCCTGAACCTGAGCATAGAAAAGAATATGAAGATATCTCACTAAACCATATGTCAACACCCAACTCTCATCATCTAAATGTGTAAAATTATCTGCATCAAGGCGAGAGAACCTGTCGGGATGATTGACATAAAGTTTATTGATATACTCAGGATCGGGGTCTGGAACGTAGAATTCTGCAGCAGAACGGTCAGGAATGCCTATTTCCCACAATGTAGGGCCATCTCTTGGAGGTTTATATATAACGCCACCCAAGTCCAGATCACAACCTGCTACACATGTGAAATGGGCAAATCCTAGCTAGGGCATCAGAATTAAAGAACTACATTTTGGCAGCAAAGACCGTCATCAAGACTTAACCACACCTGGGGTTATGGTAATAACTTCATCATTTCGGTAATCCCCAATAAAACCAGGAAGCCATGCATAAAGGTTATAATCACCAGTACGTACATCATTAATGAAAAAATAACCTTCTGGATCTGCCTTGGTCCAGAACTGGTAACCCTGGGAAATGAACAACATATATATGAGTACACATCGATCTACCTAAGCAAGAAGGCTAACTTGTCATGCTCTACTTCGACAATTAATCTGAAAATGGGCCGTTTTATTGCGGACAGTTTTGTCTAAGTCACTGATAGCTTATTAAGCATTGTCTCAAGGCAATTAATAAAGATTAACACAGAGCTAGAAAGGGCATAAAGTATACTTTGTTAGCTTTTTTTTTTTTTTTTCCTGCTTGGGGGGTTTTATACGGAATAAATTCACCTTGCATTCTCTTTGCCATGATCCAACATCTCCCGGTGGTGCCAATCCCACATAAGCGCCATTGCCTGGCATACTGTAATCGCTAATAAACCTGGAAAGGTTTAGTTATTAGATCAAATTTAGATTAATATTTATCAAGTCTTCAAATTAAAGCCTGGAAAATGAATGTCTACCTGTCTTGAACTTGCAATCTACCACTGATACAACCGCGTTGTTCTGATGATGGGAAATCCTCTGAAGCTGGGAAACTGTAGGGCCAGCTCTGAACTTCAATCAACGTCTGAATATTTAATTTGTATTAGTCCTTGTTCATTAGAAGACTTGAGTTGCATAGTTTGTCCAGAAAAAAGGAACGCGGAGTTTCGTTGAGTCTTAGACCTGTTCTTTAGCATCCTCCCATAGCCAACGTGTTTCATTTTCATCATCCAACAAAGTATTGAGATAGATAAATACAGGGCCAAAAACTTTCTTCCATGGCTCACCCGGTTTGAGTTTTAGCACCATATCCTCCCCTGAATAATGGGCACCATGAAACATCTGATTTTAAAACATTTTAATCAGGTAACTGAGTTAGATATCAATCCTTGAAGAAATGTTCCAATTTGGAACATAACTTACTGCTAAAGACCTAGTCCTAGGGTGGCAGAGATCTCCATTTTTCTTTCTTTCTTTTTTTTTTTTTTTTTTGGAATCCAAACTACTTACAGCAAGATTGATGGGACCAACATGACAACTAAGGTTTTGCTTCAGGGGTCCTCCGGATCGAAACTCATTGCTGGGTGTAATTTGCCAGAATCCCACTGGGGGGTCGAAGCATATCCATCCATGAAGCCGAAGATCTTTATTCTCGCACGAGTATTGGTATTTATCATCCACCTGCACTTCATTACAGTCAAGACTAAATGAATATAAGAGATAAAGTGATCATTTGAGATTAGAGTAACTTCAAGTGAGAAGAAATTAAGGAATTTCTTACAGAGAATTTACAGAAAGGGCTATTTTTTTGGGTGACACTAGTCCTGTTTCTTGGCCGTAACAATTAGTATACAGCAGATAATTGTGTAAAACTGTTTAAGATGGAGGCAGGATTGTGAAGAATTACCTCTCCTTTAAATTCAGCCTCCACAGGATGGACAAGTAGGACGGCTTCAGGGTAAGCAAGGGGTTTGCCTCTTCTTGGTAACCGGTCCTCTGGTAAAGGCATGCGTCTTTGCCTGTTATCCGCCACTGCCATGTAGTGAAACCTATTTGCCCAAAACAAAAGAACTCACTTTCAGGTTCACTTTATTTTGCTTTGGAAATAATTTATAGAGCTTGAATGCATCCTAAACGCGGTTGGTAGGCTTGATAACTGCTAAAGTGACCTTAGTATTGCTTACACAGTTTTTATTACAGAACAAACTAGAGCAAATTTCCATACTTGTCTTTTCTAAGCTTGAATACAATCCTGGTCTGGGGAAGGTTGAAAGCAGGCCATTCCTTAAAATGCTCATAAATGGCATAGGAGTAGAAGCCAGAGGAATTACGAAGCATTATAAACCTGAAAAGTCATCGTTATTGTTAACATTGACACAAGCTCTAGGTCGCCAGCTTTTTTATCCATTTCCACGCTTATTGAGCTGAAAATACACACAAGTAGAAGTTTAAGCAATAGCCAATTACCTCTTGTCTATATTCAGGGGAGCAAGCTTGCCCTCGAGTGAGGGATCCCACATTCTAGTGAATGAGATTTCTACTTGTTCCTCATTTTCTACCACCACTCGAAAACTTTTCCCTTTAATCCTGAATAGTGGCACATATATGAGGAAGAACTTAGTTAATTATAACATTTAGGTGGCAAACGGAAAGGGAAATTGTGGCAAAAAGGAATTGAAAAATGAAGTGAATGTAGCGAGGAACAAGGCAAAATTAAATTGGAATCAAGAACCCAGAAACATTACTATGGAATCAGTTAAAAAGAAAAGCATTTTCATACACATAAGATGTTCCTGTGGTTCCTGTACTCCCTTCTTTACTCCATACAAGATCCCAATACCCTCTATTGGATTCATCGTTGAGGACTTCAAGTAAATTGTTGATGCCATTATAGCTTATTCCAGTGACAATCCCCTCTGGTTTGGATAATGTGACTTGGAGTATGCCATTATCCATCACCACCTGATGGAATTCAATAACAAATTTCTTTAAGTTTCATTGTATAAAATTCAGACCAACCTCATTTTACTTCATATTTGCATCTTTTACAACTTAAGGTTGCATGAAAAGTGAGAAACAATGAAAAAAAAAAAAAGATAGAAAAAGCAGTATCATATTGAATTACATGACGTTCTTGGATATGCAACTGCACTCCTTGGCTTGACATGATGAAGCTCTTATAATGTTGTGGAACCTCTTTGAGGGATGACGATGTTGATCTTATAACTGAGGCAGCAGTTGATTTCTAAGCAAACACAAGTACGAGTCGATATATAAAGTATCACTACAAGAAAGTCTCAGCAATATTATTCCCTTACGTGTTCAATCTTAATGCAAAGAATTGCCTTTAGTTCACTTAAACCGGAGGCCAAGCATTCTTTTTGAGCTTTGTGTATTTGCAAATTCTTTACTCAGTCGTCACCACTCTTTGGTGCATGATAGAACCTTTCAAGATCCGCTATGTGCTAAGTATTGGCATATATCATTAAGTCATTGACAGTTGATCATGAGTGAGCTTAACGCCTTAACCTATGTTTATGGCCAACGGAATGGATGATGTCACGATGATAAGGTTAGTAACACCATGAAATGCACATGAAGAAGAAATGTGTCCAAATTGTTTGATGTGTTTTTAACACGAATATTAAGTTACAAGTATGCGTGGAGAATTGGCGAAAGGGCATCTGCCTTGACAAATTAAACCTCTATTGTCTTTGTTTTGTAACCTATTACATGTTAGTTTTGTAACCTTCGGTTCTCAAGATGAGTATGAAGAGTGGCCAACTCCATAATTGGTTAATGAAACATCATCGAAAGTTGAAGAATCCTATTAGGAATGGCAATAGGCCGTGTATCTAGCTCATTAAACTAATTCCATACTCGGTATATTAAAAAATATTATATTTATCACTAATTAAAAGTCACTTGCTCATTTTTTTCCTTAACCCATACTTATTATATCATACCTTATTCATATTCTGTCTATATCTATTTATTGGCTAATTTTTTTCTTAAATTGAGGTTTTTTTTTCAATTTATTTTAATTATAAACTCTTTTTATATAATTAGTCGTATTTATCTTTTGTGATTTATGTAGACTAGAAGTATTTCAAGACTTAATCCCTGTGAAAATGCTGATTTAGAAAAAAGAGCTATTCTTGCAGCAAGAACTTGTACGGGTGTTTGTATTATGCGCATTTAAAATGGAAACAATTCCATCGTGCACTTCAAAGGCACATACTTTTTTTTTTTAATAACCAATTACTCTTTTATAGCGTATTTTGTAGGAACCGAAAATTATTACTTCCTAGTCAAACATTAGTTAGTATTTCTGAATTTTATACCATTTCCTTGGAATTGAGTTGAGAACAGAATAATACTTGCTCCTATTCCTCTCAACTCAATTCCATGGAAATGATATAAAATTCAGAAATACTAACTAATGTCTGACTCGGAAGTAATAATTTTCGATTCCTACAAAATAAGCTATAAAAGAGTAGTTGGTTATTGGAAAAAGAAAAATTATGTGCCTTTGAAGTGCATGATCAAATTGTTTCCATTTTAAATACACATAATACATATACTCGTACAGGTTCTTGCTGCAGGAATAACTCTTTTTTTTAAGTAGTATTTTCACAAGGATTAAGTTTTCAAATCCTTTTAGTTTACATAAATTACAAAATACAAATATGATAAGTTATATATAAAAAAATCTTACTATATAAAAAGAGTCTAAACAAAAAAAGTTTAGAAAAAAAATTCAGTTAAAAAAATTAAGAAAAAAGTCTTCAATTTAAAATAATAATAATAAATAAACGGATATGGATAAAATATGAATAAAATATAATATAATGAGTATAAATTGAGTAAAAAAGTAAATAAATGATTTTTTTTTATGGATAATGAATATAATATTTTTTTAATAAGGAGAGTATGACGTTGGCTTAATGGGCAGGCCCGATGGTAGTTTTAAGCAGAAAAAATTGGGTAGTTAACCCAGATAAGACAGCTAGGCAATTTATTTCAGCCAAGGTATACATCCGTTGCAATTCAAATCACGCTATCCCAAGAAATGGAGGGTAGCATTTCAATTATGATTATTTTTTTTATATCACCGACATAAAGAAGTCCTGGGCACCTAATAAACGCAGGAATCATCATATGACTTAAAGGATATGCAGTAGTACTATAGCCTTTCAATGGCATGCTCTTGTATATTATTTGGATATATATCGCCAAACCATCCCAAATCGAAGAATTTCGTATTATATGAAGAAGGAAAGACCTTCACAGGAAAAGGAAAAAAATAAATAAATAAATAAAAGGAAAAAGGAAAAGAACAATATAATTGATTATGGAGCAAACGCAAACGGCCAACGGTACAACCAAAGAAAATAAGCATTAATTTCCTTGTACAGACATTTCAATTTTGATGTTCTATCCTTCCCGTCAAATGTTGAAGAACGATAAAATCAATTTCTAGTTGGAATCAGAAGGAGGAGGGCCTTCTAAGCGAATATAATCATACATGATTCCCTGCGTAAGGCCGGTGCTAATTGCTTGTGTCAGAAATACGGTATTATCTCCTTCCACAAGCAAAGTGCCTGGCACATCTACATTGTAAAGGCGGTAGAGACCATGAATTCCATGCCTTGCAATTGTGTTGTCATGCCCAATTTCTCCAGTTGAAAAATGGGAAGGATCTATTTTTGGATCGTTTATCCTAACCTTTTAAAAATTAAAAACAAATGTTAAAATATAGGGAAAGAGGAGTTGGACAAAAAAAGACATGAAAGTAATCATACAACAAGTTCTATGGATTATCAAGTCCATACTTGCAGTTCTGCAACATTGGCCGTAGCCAGTGCCAATCGTAACTTGAACGTGCCACTATGATCTACATCGTCCAGCTTGAACTTGATTTGCCATGTAGTTCCTTTAAACGTGCCATCCTCTTTCTTCCTGCAGTGCATAAACATCAAGCCCAAATGCCCTACTTTTATAACAACTATTTGCTCATATTGGACTCAGTCTGCCTGCTAGCCAAGCATCAGACAACCATTTTCATTGCGACAGACTATCTGACAGGGCAGGATAGACTAATCAGAGAATTTTTAATATCTTTCGGCGATTTAATTGTTGTACGTTGGTTTGTCATGATAGATATACGGGAAAGTATATGACTTGATTAGTGAAATTGAAACCCAATGTTGGTAGAGTTAAACCTGTTTACTTGAGCGAAAAACCAATCTTTCTTGTAGTCGCTGAGACCAATTGTGTATACCAGATCCCCATCAGGATATAAATCAGCATACCTTTCCCACAGCCCATACTGCCTAAACCTGAAAATATGAAAGATCAGTAGGAACTTTGCTAAACGTCACAGGAATAATCAATCTAATTTCCAAGTACCCCTAATAGTTTGTTCCTAAGAGTTAAACCAACAAGGCCAACCTGTCAGGATGGTTGATGAAAAGTTTGTTAATATACTTCGGGTTAGGATCAGGAATGTAAAACTCTGCAGCAGATCGATCAGGTGTGCCTATTTCCCACACTGTTGGGCCATCTCTCGGAGGTTCATATACAAGATGACCAACATTGATATCGCAACCTGCCTTGCATGTTGTCAAAAAGTGAGCTGAATGATGAGTAATACAAAATTGAGGATGTCAACAGATCATTGAAGCAAATTGTGAAATATTAAGACCTGCAGTTACTGTAATGATAGTATCATTACGGTAATCCCCGATGAAACCAGGAATCCACGCGTAAAGATTATAGTCGCCAGTGCGTATATCGCTAATGGAGAAAAAGCCGTCACCATCCGTTTTGGTCCAGAATTGGTATCCCTAATAAGACACAGAAGATTTAAGATCTACTTGATATCATAACGAATAAGCTACATTGAAAAAAAATTATTCATTGATGACATTGGCTATGTTGTCTTGAATTAATTTGTTTAAGATGCCAGGAAAATTGGATCACCTTGCATTCTCTTTGCCATGATCCAACATCTCCTGGCGGTGCCAAGCCCACATAAGCGCCATTAGCAGGTAGGCATTCTTGGCTTATATACCTAGCAAGCCCATACTTAAAAGTTACATTTCCTAGGATGGGAAAAAGAAGGCAAAAGATGGCAACGAACTACCTTAAGAAATTCTAGAGGAATCAGAGGATTAATCAAGGAAAGTTGGGGGGGGGGCGGGGGGGGGGGGGGTGGGGGGGGTTGGGGTTTGGGTTGGGTTGGGGGGTGGGGAAGCTCATCATGAGAACAAAACGCTGTCATTCTTCAAGAAATTGAAATTGCAAGGAAGTAAAGAACGAAATACCTATCTAGGACTTGTAATCTACCACTGATTTTACCACGTTCATCGGAACTTGGAAAATCATCAGAAGCTGGAAAGCTGTACGGCCAACAGTAGACTTCATTCAAATACTAGGAGAAAAATTTGTGTTATTGCTTAGGGATAAGAAGCCAAAAACTCCCAGTCCATTTTGAACATATCAAGAAGGAAATACAAATTATATGCTTCGAACCTGTTCTTTAGCATCATCCCATAGGGAAAGTGCATTATCTTTATCCTCAACAGAGTTAACATACATAAAAACTGGTCCAAAAACTTTCTTCCATGGTTCCCCAGGGTTGAGTTTTAGCACTAGGTCCTCTCCAGCATAATGAGCACTGAGAAACATCTGGTTGTGCATAAGATTAATTAGAGGTCACATCATTTTTTATACTAATTTCGAGACATTTACAAAGTAAATTACCACATGAAACACACATTTTTGTTGTATGCGACCAAATTAAAAGTCCAACTACAGTTGTAGAGTGCACTGAGTGACTTACGGCGAGAGTATAGGGGCCAACATGGGAGGTAAGGTTCTGCTTGAGTGGCCCCCCAGACCGGAACTCACTGCTGGGTGTGATTTGCCAGAACCCTGTGGGTGGATCAAAGCAAATCCACCCATGAACCTGGAGATCTTTATTCTCACATGAGTATTGATACTTATCATCCACCTGCACTTAAAAGTTTTACATGTCACCCATTTGTGGCATCATATGACGAATGCTGTGGACCCTTGTATCATGTCACATCTCTCGAGTTTATACTAGTATGTCTCTCACGCCTCGTCAAAAGGTGTTGAAAATATATAGAAATGGATTATTTTAAAATGTTTAGACAAATTTTATTTTATAGGAATAAAAAATAAAAAATCTCAAATTTACGTTTTATCATACAATAATAAGAAAGAAATATAAAAAACGATGATTGCAATCAAAGGCATATACTCTAATTTTTTATTTATTTATATTGGAGTAAATTTCTTTTATTGCAGAGTAAATTATTACGTAAATTCTAATTTTTTGGATCAAAGAATGAAAGGAAATTTTTATTAATTTACTTCAATAATGTAACACAGATTCGCGAGATAGTTTTTTAAAAATAAATAGACATGTTAATTTACTCCAATAATGTATTAAATTAAATCAAAGAGCCTATTTTCAATAATTCAATAAAATATATATATTTTTTTAAAAAAATAATAATAATCATTACAATAATAATAATTTTAAAGTTTGAAAGACCAAAATAAAAGTATGATATAAAGATATGAAAAAAAAAAGTAAAGAAAACTTTGCAGCATGCATGGACAAAAATCACACATGACAAACTCCAATAACCAAAATAGAAGTAAGATCACAGAACATGGATAAAAAAAAATTACAAGTCAAAAAAGAGGGTTAGCCACGGTGAAACTACATTTAATTGAATATTTGATATTCAAAATTATAAAAAAAATTCACTTACACTCCTACATTTAATTATTTTTAAAAAAATTCAGATTATTTATTTGCAAGACAGAAAAAAATTATTTAAATAAATAAACATGTTAATTTACTCCAATAATGTATTAAAATCAAATCAAATTTACTTCAATAATGTATTAAAATCAAATCAAATAGCCTATTTTCAATAATTTAATAAAATATTTTAAGAAAAAATAACATGCAACAATAAAAATGAGCACAATAAGAATAAATTTAAACTTTAAAAGACCGAAATAAAATTACATTATTAGAATGAAACAAAAAAACAAGGAAAATTTAGCAGCATGCAGGGATAAAAATCAAATATGACAAAACTTTAGTGACTAAAATAGAGATAAGATCACATAACAGGAACCAAAACGAAAAAAGTTACAAAAAGCCAAAAAAAAAAAAAAAAGGGGCTTAGCTGGATTCTAAATTAGCATTGATGAAGAAGAAAATTAAAAATAAGATGATGTTGCAATTAGTGGTACCTCTCCTTTGAACTCAGGCTCCACTGGGTCGACAAGCAAGACTGCTTCAGGAAAGTCTAGTGGCTCACCTCTCCCAGGTAGCCTGTCATCAGGAAGTGGCATGAATCTTTGTCTGTTGTCTGCTACGATCATGTAGTGAAACCTATAACCCAAAAAGTTCCCATCGTTATTAATTAATTACTAATTCACCTGAAAGAACACAGCCTTTAATTTCCATCAAATATTACTCGTTCAAAAAAAAAAAAAATGGAAAGGTTAATAAACTATGTATAAATGGAGGCAATAAATAATATCTCTACTTGTCTTTTCTGAGTTTGAAGACAATTCTGGTTTGCGGGAGGTTGAAAGGAGGCCAGTCCGCTAGATGCTCAAAAATGGCGTAGGAATAAAATCCTGAAGAATTCCTAAGCATTATGAACCTGGAAAAAACACATCAACGTAACAATTCTCACCACCAACAGTCTTGACCAATAATGAATTGAATATGTGATTTATGAAGTGAACATAAATAGATAGTTCAGGAATGTTCCTTTTGTCCAAGTTTAAGGAAACGAGTTTGCCTTCAAGGGAGGAATCCCATGTTCTTGTGAATGAGATTTCTACTTGGTCTTCATTTTCCACTATAACCCTCAAACTTGTTCCTTCAAACCTGAGTGTTTAGAGAATCGAATTGAGGATATAACATTAGAAGAAGAAGAAGACTGTATCAATGGCTTGTACATGTAGAGAGAAAGTGGGCGTACACATCAAAAGTTCCTGTTGTCCCTGTGCTTCCTGCTGCACTCCAAACAAGGTCCCAATATCTAATTCAATTCAACAAATAGGATCAATTTTTAGTTAACTAAACCGAAAGAATATGAACTTTAGATATTGAAATTATTTTGTAGACCCGTTTTACTTTTATGAAATAAAAATTATGCTATTCAATTAGAAGCATTTCTCTATAGCAATTAACTAGTATCATATATACTAGCAAAGTCTACGTGTTGTCGCGAAAAAAGTATATATAATATGATTTAATATTTTAAAAAATTTAGTTGTAAAATAAAAACTAATTAAGATTAATTGAAGATTTTTTTTAAATTTATATGTATTATGTAATATTTAATAATATATTTGTATTTCATAATTGAGTTTAAATAAATCCTATGAATATGTTTGATTTTAACCAAAATAAATAAATAAATAATAAAACATGCTATTAATTATTTATTTATTAAAAAATTAAATTATAAGAAGGTGTTAAATCAATTTATATTAAAAAATATTTAATTTTAGTTAACGAGTCTATAAAAAAATTAATTATTGAGAAAAATATTATATGCAAATAATAAATAATGAAAAAAAATAAAAGCATGAAAAAAGAAAGAACAAGAGGTTGGGCTGGAAGCCGAAGCATTAAAAAATCACAAGGACCTTGCTATAATACAAATTAAGTTTAAGGGTCGTTTTATACAAAATTAAAATTCTTATGAGCAAAATGTAAAAAATCCAAAATATTACTTTTTTTTTATATATATTTTATAAAACGATGCCGTTTCAATCTAAAGTGACATAAAACGACACCCTTGGGTATGCTATTGAAGCATGGCTTTAGTACATTCCGGGTTGAATAAAATACATAAAATTATTTTATTTTGATGTCTCGTATTATATTATGCATCTATCAAAATAAATCAAATAATAAATAAATAAAATTAATTCAATTTTATATTTTTTAATCAAAATTTTATATTTGAGTGATTATTTTTTATATTTTTTAGAAATTTTTTATAAGAAAAATTATTTAATAGTATAAAGAATGTCAAAACCAATAGATTCTTAACTAAAAACTTTATTTTGTAATTTTTTTAAAACATTTTTTTTCCTTCAAATTTTTTATTAAAAAATTAGAGAAAAAAATGACCAAAGTGACCAAAACGAAACAAAAAGAGGGACCAAAACCAAATAAAAAATATTTGTAGATTGAAAAAAATATATTTGATAAAGAGAGATCAAAGTGTAATGTTACGAAAACTTTCATAATAAATATTTTTAAAATGCTTGAAATCTATAAAAATGTCACTTCATAGTGAAAGAAATGATGCATCCGATTCCGCGTGAATAATGCATCCGAGTCTAGATAAACAAGTATTTCAAACAATAAATGAATAGTAACTATATATTTTACTTTTAGTTTTATTTATAATTATAATACTAGTTTGTTGTCCTCCATGTGTTGCAGATTAAACAAAATATGTGAAATCATTTGAAAAAGTTATTCAATATGGATCCAACAAAATATATCAAAATCAAAAGTAATTTTATAATCAAAATTTTGTACTCAATTAATTCTTTCTTATGTTCTTTTTAATAGATTCATTTTAGGAAAAATATTTTTTTTCTTGATGCATGAATTCTTAAACAAAACGTATAATAATCTAAAGAGCAAGTTTCAATTAATAGTAAATAAAAAAATGTACAAATTTTTTTTTTCTTAAGATTGCATTGAAAAATAAAGCAACAATTAATGTAAAAAATACTGCATAAGAATTTCAAATTTTAAAATAAATTTTTTATCTTTATTGAATATTGATGAGAAGATTAAATTTTGAAAGTATGTATACTTAGTGAGTGTGTGTGTGTGTATTCTCAAAATAATCAATAATATTAGAATAAAAAAAATTATTTGAAAAGTATGGTACCATTGCATGTTTTCTTCAAACATGATTTTAATTATTTTATTTTAAAAAAATTGATTTCAAAATAAATAAGGTTTTTTTTTTAAGATAATAAATGTTCGGTGTCTTGTGTGCATGTACTTAGTTAGTTTTTAATAAAAACCTCGTATAAATTTGATTTCAATAAATTTTGATTAATATAAGGAAGAAGTAAATAAAACATGTGGATTTCATTTTTTTTAACATATATTTTTATTTTTAAGTCACACATGCTTGGTTCTCGAGCACAAACCTCGCAGTTGTAACAATCACGTCTCTGTTTTTTCCTTCTTGTTTTTAATTATCAATATATTATTTTTTCAAAAACTTAGAGAAAAAATTTTGCAATACACTTCTAACCTTTAGATCAAATATATACTTAGAATTATGATAGTTTCATTTAAAAATTATAAGAATCTATCATATAAATTATTTTTATTTTTAATAAAAAAGTAATCATGTTCATTAAAATTTATTCCAAAGCCAAACATAGAAAAAATAAATTATATTTATAAATTTATATAATTTAATAAAAAAATTAATTGGATAAAAATTTTCGTAAGAAATGATAAATTATTAGAATAAATTTCAAATAATAAAAATGATATAATTTAAAATATATGTTAAACCTAAAATAGAAAACACATCATTGATATTTCTTTCTCGCCCAAGTTGTAAAAAGCTCAATAAATAATTATTAGTTTTTCAAAATTGAAGCAAAAAGAAAAAAAAACCCAAAAAAGGACCAAAAAAAAAAAGGTTGGGCCTGGACGTGCCAGGCTTGCACCTTTGGGTTTAGAGAGCTAGGTCCATGCTTTCATAGGCCAGCCCTTGAAAAAAAAAAAAAACACGTGAAATATGGACCATGTGTAGCCTGCAGAATGCACAGGAGACGACGCGTTGGCCGACTGCAACTTCCTAAGAAACTTCGATCGTCAAAAATCTTACTAGAAAATCATACCACCACATTCTGGCCTTTTAAAACAAATTTCCTCCCTATTTTTATCCCAAAACATCTTAAAATTAATAAAATTACTTTAAAAAAACTTATTTGGAATCTTTAAACTCATTTTAATGCAGTTAAAAAACACAAAAATTCAAAAACTAAAAAATATTTTGGTGTATTGATTTCCCTCCTTCAGTTATTTTATGTCTTAAAATCACAATAAACAATAAACAAACTCTTTTTTTCACTATGTGTAAATTGAAATCAAGATTAATAGTCAATCGTGGCCAAAACAAACTTCACCTTAAGTTTCTCTCTCTTTATTTCTGTCTACATCCACAGATCAAATTAATGATATAAATAAAATTAAAAATTGAAACAAATGTCTTAGAAAAAAAACTAAGAACTAAAGTGCAATATTTGTCAAAACTTATATATCAAATGCATGAATAAATGTCTAAAAAAAAAAATATCATATCTAATATCTAAATAAAGAATGAAAATCATAATAATGTCACTAAATATAATAATATTAAATAAACAATGCTTATGAATCTAGGTGAATGGTAAAAATGAGTATGGGTGAATAGTTAATACTAAATTTATTATAGGTTTTTTTATTAATAATTTTGTATGTACTCACACACAGTACAAAATTTTGAAAAGTTCAATTAATTATATCAGATCAGTTTTATTTTGATTTTTCTCGGACATAAATCGGAAATGGGATCACATCCATACCCTCTATTAAATTCGTCATCATTAACCTCAAGCAAATTGTCCACACCATTATACTGAATGCCAGTAACGATTCCTCCAGGATTTGATAGTGTGACTTGAAGAATGCCATTATCCATAACCACCTGCATAATAGAATTTCCTCGTGTATAATGTTTTAAATATATTAGCAAATTATTTTTTATGAAGCAAGTAGTAACTTACATATTGATCTTCAACATGCAACTGCACCCTTGGAGTCGACATGTGGTGGACTTTGCTATCTTCTGCCAATAAAGAGGGGAAAATGGAAAAAAATTACAGTGAGCAAGCCAAGTGCTAAGAAGATAACAATTTAAAGACTGAAGTGTTGTTCATATGCTGCTATTCCTTAGAAATTTGGACAACTTTGATGTAAAGGCTTAAAAGATCCTACTTGTCTGAGAAAGATCTGTGGATTATAGAAGAAGTATTCTTGTCCCTAAAGGATCACTTACTTTTGTCACCTACAGTATGCTTGGTGAATTAGTTGTAGTCGTGCAAGAATCGCTAAGTAGGATCGTGAAGCCACAGTATAGAATAGTAAGATCGTAAGAAAAGAAGACAAGACTGATGGGAAGTATCGTTGTCGGTTGGTGGGTTAATGGCGTCTTTAGTCTCCTTTCTCTCTGTTCCATCTTTGCTTAGGTCTTGTGTCTAATTGTTATCCTTACGTCATACCTCAACTTCTTATTCTGCGATCATTTTATCCTTTTCTTAACTTCCATCGTAGTCTATCACTAATGACAGTTAATTGAAGCTATTATATACTCTTTCTGTAGCAAAGAAATTATCTCTTTTAATTTTTCATTCAGATTAAAAAAGTTGTTAATTATTATGTCATATGAACTTTTTTTTCCTATACTTGTCAAAAATATTTTTTTAAAAAAAATTGTATTTGGACAATTTTTATTATAAGATAAACTTTAATTAAAAATATTTTAATAAAATACATTATTTAAAATTTTGAAATTTTGACCAGACAGATAATTTTTTTATAATAGAAAGAGGGATTGAAGAATTAAGAGATGGTATTAAGATAAATGATAAGAAGGAGATCAGATGTACCGTTAACCCCTCAGTTTTTACTTCTTTATTAGATACTTCTTTAAAATAGAGTCCATGAGAAATTATTTAGTATTGAGAATTGTACTTCTCTTCTCACATAATAGTAGAATTCGTAAATAATTTTTTTTTGATGGATTTTATTTTTTTTATGAAAATAAAAAATACAATTCCGGACATATTTAATAATTTATAAAAATAAATAGGAGCTATATTTTATACCCAAATGCCAAATAGACTTTTCTTTTGTTTTTCTTCCCAAAAAAATATGTACATGACATTCTTTTTTATTATTCGAAAAAAAGAAAATATACATTAATTAACGATGAGTGAAATGGTTCATTAGACGATTAGATTTAAACACGTTGCTTTTGCAAGTTCATAAAAGATATACAACATCAGCAAGACATACCTTTGTTGCATCAAGTTATGACTCATATTGCTTAAGAGTAATTGTTAAGTAAATAAAATAGAGTAATGACTAAAGATTTTTGAAAAAGGAATATGATTTGTTTTTTTTCTCCCCAAAAAAATATCACTCTTTTTTATTATTTGAGAAAGGGAAAACATACATCAATTAATGACGAATGAAGTGATTCATTGGGGATTAGCTTTAAACATGTTGTTTTTGTAACTTCATAAAAGATATGCAACATCAAAATATATATATATATATATTGGGTTTATGGCTCATATTTTTTAAAATAAAGACCAAGGAAATAGAATACAGTAATGATTAGAAATTTCTTATCCAACAAGAATTTTGAATTTTGGCTATTATAAATAGATGAGAAGATATGTAGTTTTAGTATGAAAAACACAATAAAGATGATTTTTTTAGTGTAAGAGTGAAAGTACATGGGATGATTGGGTTTTGGATATACAAATCACAATTATATTTTTATATTAGTTTTTTCCAGTAATAAAGAATCATTATTATTGAGTTTATGGAGTATGTAGAATTTCACCGAACCAAATTAAACTTGTGTGTTTTTTTTTTAATTAATATTTGTTATATTTTTTTTCATTGAATACAGTTGTTCGTAGTGGTACATTGAATCTCTAGTCTTTAACTTTTCTAACAATATCGTAAACAGAGATTCTTAAAATTGATACTTATAAGAAATATCGTTCAGATTTTATGTAAATATATCTTTAAAGGTTCAGTTTGAAAGGACCAGTTGTTTTACTTGGCCACGAGCAACATTTTGAAGTTCTAGCTTGTAACGGAATCCTTCAAGCTTAGTTCGAGATAACTAAGGAAACTAAGAAAGTTAGAGAAATTATTATTATTATTTTAAATATCAATTTATTGAACATTAATTGCATTGTTTTTTTTTTTTCCCCAGCTTTAAGGCAAGCCGTGTTGTATGGTTTCTATAGTTTGAACGATCGCCAACACATCTTTTAAACTACCAAGCCAACTCCCACAAATTTTTCTTCTGTTTTTCAATTCAAAGATTTGGAAAAAAAAAAAAAAAAAAAAACTTAGTCATTGCCTTTGACCCTTTTATTTATTTATTTTGACCATAGATACCCAGATTGTGGAATTCAATAAAATATGTGAACAAAAGAAGTTGCAAAGCAACTTACAAATAGATAGGAAAACTAAAAAAATGTGTATGCCTGGATTTCTGTCAATGGTCGTTTGAAGAAATAGAGCTAGCCATTGTTTTCCCAAAACTTTTTCTATAAGGGAAAAAAAAAATTCAGATCTCCTTGACGGTTTTATGTGATGGTGGTGGACCTTCCAAGCGAATATAATCGTACATAACTCCTTGGAAAGGGCTGGTACTCGATGTTTGTGTCAAAAAAATGGTATTATTTCCTATCAGAAGCTGAGTCCCTGGTATATCAGCATCATATAGCCTGTAAAGCCCATGAATCCCATGTCTTGCGATTGTGTTATCCTTGCCAATCACTCCAGTTGAAAATAGAGGAAGACTAGCATTTGGATCATTAATCCGAACCTTCAAAAAAAAAATAATAAAAAAAATAAAAAAACAAGTTCTCGGTCGAGAGGATCATCACCCTTTTTTTATTATATAATATTCATCAGAGAAATGAATAATTTGAACTTAAATTATGACATGCAAACCTGCAAATTGGCAACATTAGCAGTTGCAAGGGCCAAGCGTAGTTTATATGCTACACGCTCATCCACTTCATCCAGGCAGAACTTGATTTGCCATGTAGTCCCTTCATATGTGTTATTATCTTTCTTCCTGCAACGCAGATAGAGTGGAAATTAAAAGATTTATTAAACAACAACAAAAACAACAATAATAAAGCCTGATATATCTATCCTAGTCTATAATAAAGCCTGATATATCTATCCTAGTCTATAATGACCGGTTAAACACTAAAATTATGTGTTAGGCTACTAATTAATGTTTTAAAATATAAACCTTGTAACTTGAGTGAAAAACCAATCTCTTGTGTAGTTACTCTGCCCAACTGTGAAAACTAAATCTCCTTTGGGATACAACTCCGCATATTTTTCCCATAATCCATACTGTCTATACCTGCTAGTAAGAAAAGCTGATTAACATATCTTGTGCTTGATAACATTAATTAATAAAGCCAATAATATTGTTGGTACCCGTTACTGATCATTTAAGACAGCAAGAAGAACAAACCTTTCCTGGTTGAGATAAAGTTTGTTAATATATTTTGGGTTTGGATCAGGAATGAAAAATTCTGCAGCAGAACGATCTGGCAAACCTATTTCCCATAATGTTGAGCCATTCCTTGGAGGCTCATATACGAGATCACCAATATTAATCTTACTACCTGCTTTGCACGTTCAACAATTATAGCCATCAAACATACAAACCAAGAAATTAAGAGATCAAATAAGAGTGGGAGAAAAATTCAGACCTGAGCTTATGTTAATGACAGAATCACTTTTATAATCTCCTATAAAATTAGGGACCCATGCATAAAGATTGTAGTCACCGGGCCGTATACCGTTGATTGTGAAATTTCCACCTTTATCTGTTTTGGTCCAAAATTGGTAACCCTGGTAGCAAAATGAGAAAAATTGTTTTTAGGCTTGTATGAGTAGCTTAACGTATCAGCTACCAAGAACAACTAAAAAAATTTGGTCACCTTGGATTCTAGCTGCCAGGAGCCAACTTCTCCCGGGGCTGCCAGTCCCACATAAGCACAATCTGCAGGTATCGTTGCATTTGAAACGTACCTAGACAAATTTAAACATTGTAAATTGTAACTAAATTTTTTTTTTTTTTATCAGATTTATCCCTGCTAGAAAATCGATACTAATGTACCTCTCTAGCACGAGTAATCTGCCGCTGACACTACCACGTTGTTTTGGTGGTGGAAAGTCCTCTGAAGCTATGAAGTCATAGGGCCAGATTTGAACTTCATTCATCATCTAATCAAATTATAAATTAGTTCTCTGTTTTTAGTAGATAGTCCAATTACTAGGTTCAGGTGCTAAAAGATAAACCAAGATGAGTAACACTAATTTTACCGAAAATCCTTCTTGAAATCACTTCTCGAAAGATTGGAATCGTTAATTTAGTGAGACTTAGCATAAACCTCACTCATCCAGGGAATTGGGATTTTTCTTGGAAGTAATTTCAGTAAGAATCTCCGAAATTTTTTTGGCATTATTAAAATGAAAAAAATGCTGTGAAGAACCTGTTTTTTAGCGTCCTCCCAGAGTGAAAGTGGGCTCCCTCCATCTGACAAAGAATTGAGGTAAATAAAAACTGGGCCATAAACTTTCTTCCATGGCTCGTTAAGCCCAAATTTGATTATGATGTCCGCTCCCGCATAATGAGTACTATGCCAGACCTGGTGATCAAGAGCACTAGAAATCTTGGATTCATTTTTTTTTAAAAAAAAAAGAAGAAGAAGAAATCTTTAACTCTACGACTACTTTTTAAATTTTAGGTTCAGGCCCATCAGAGAGAGAAGTTAAACCGCAAAAAGAAAATTTGGACTTACTCCAAGATTAGTGGGGCCAACATGAGAAGTCAGGAATTGCTTGAGGGGTCCACCGGATCTGAACTCATTGCTTGGTGTAATTTGCCAGAAACCAATAGCTGAGTCATTGGAAATCCACCCGTGAACACCAATGTCTTTGCTGTCACATGAATACTCGTATTTGTCATCTACCTAACCAAAACACATTCGCCAATCACAAATTTTATCTGCGTCAACAGTCTCCTGTGTTGTCTTACCATGAATAGGAAGAAGAAAAATGAAAAAATATATATATATATATATATAGACACAATGAAGAGTGAACCTTCCCTAATCAGAATAGAGACGAATCCAGACTTTGAGAGCTAGAATGTATGGTTCTGATTTGGGCAGAGGGCATTTCGCAAGAATCTCCTATAGTTTTTTGTAAGTTTAGGGGGTGTTTTAGAAACTTATAAAAAAGGAGGGAGGCAGGACCACCCCAAGCTACTCCTAAATTCGTCCCTCTCCCTATTCCTCAATCCCTCCTCAGTCCTGGAATTTAAACAAAAGACCTACTAATAGAAATTATTGGTCAAATAATACGTAGTGAAAGACATATACCTCTCCTTTAAATTCAGGCTCTACAGGATTGACAAGTAAGACTGCCTCTGGATAGGCTAGAGGCTGCCCTCTTTCTGGCGATCGGTCTTCAGGTAGGGGCATATAACGTTGTCTATGGTCTGCTATGGCCATATAGTGAAACCTGCGCCAAATCTTTTCTGTCAAAAGAACAGATTTTCGTCTCTAGTTGAGTAATATAATTGAGTTGGCCGTAAAATGAAATAGAGAAACTTAATTGTTGTACTTCTGTTTAGTAAGCTTGAACACGACCCTGGTGTTATCAAGGTCGAAAGCAGGCCAATCCCTCAAATGTTCATAGATAGCATATGTGTAGAATCCTGAAGACCCACGAAGCATTACATATCTATTTATTAAAAAAAAAAAATTCCGTTTAATTAAACTTGATTAATAACCAATGTTGAATAGTAATAAAGGGTTGATTTATTTAAATATTTTGAGCAAATACCTTTTGTCGAAGTTCAAAGGGACAACCTTGCCCTGAAGTGAGGAATTCCACATCCTGGTGAATGAGATCTCAACTTTTTCTTCATTTTGAACTATTACAGTTAAATTTGTTCCGTCTAGTCTGCTTATATAGAAATGGATTAGTCTGTTGATCGAATGCTGTACAGCTTTTGTGACCTGTGTGCCTATTAATGAAACATGCTAGAGAATTGGAACATCTTCTTCCTAATTAAAATTTCAAAAATCATTTAGTTGTGCAGTGCTATTATGCGAGAGCTTTTGAAGCATTTATACCTGTCCAAATCACCCTTTTTTCGTGTAACTCCTTCCCCGCTCCAAACAATATCCCAGTACCTGTTGCAACATGGAGTCACAAACATATTAAAAAATTAAAAAAAACAGAGAGTCATGAACTTATTGTGACGTATGAGGCTAATAACACGTTAAATATTTCTCTTAATTTTTGTTTAGAAAAAAATATTTTGTGTTCAGGATTTTACCACAAATAAATTTAAAGCAAGAACGGTCATTAGTAATTAAAAAATATCAACTCAATATAATTTACCACTTTAAACTGAGAATATATAAATTATAAAAGCCAAAAAATAAAGAGATCAAAGCATTTGCATAGAGCTTACCCTCTATCAGATTCAACGTTGTCGGGTTCAAGCAAATTGTCAAGGCCATCGTACCGTATTCCGGTGACATGGCCCCCTGGATTTGAGAATGTGACCTGGAGTATGCCATTATCCAAAACCACCTGCATATTCTCATTATTAAATAACAGCAGATGAAACCTTCATTGTTTTTCACTGATCCATGGAAACAAGAATTAATGGATGAAAATAAGTTCAAACAGAGAGTTACATAGTCTTTTTGAATATGCAATTGCACTCCTTGGGACAACGAGCTGCTGCCATTTCCTTCCCCCTCCATGAAAATCTATGCCTGGATTCTCATGCCGCTGCAAATTAGAGAATGAAGCCATGAATTGTGAAAACAAAGAGAAGGACAATAACATTCTCAAAACTTTGCCAGAACCCATGATGTAAAATGATCAATTCTAGCATCTCTCTCTGCACCACACCTTCTTATAGGATTTGAATATCCCCTAATAATCATCCTAGATTTGTTGCATGCTCATTACTCTCTGCATTTACCAAAAAGGAAACAAATCTTGCCTCTTGCACTCTGTGGAGAATGTAGACATGTGAAAGCCTCTGCATACACATATATTCATAAACAGATAGATATGGAATTACTTTATTTATCTGCTGCGTCTCATGTCTTGACTTTCTAGCCACGACTGTTTGGTGCATGAGATAGTTAGGCCAGAATCCAGATAACCGAAGAAGGGCCATGCTCGTGTATGGTTTTCGTATTAATATTTACTAGAAGATGTAACAGATTAAATTACTAAACAATAATTTATGAATCTAGGATGACCGAATAAAAAAGATTTTATACTGGAGAGACGAAAAGAAGATATTAACTCGAAGAAAAATCGTACATACCTCTTTAGGTATAAATTTAATTTGCTATTCTTTTCATTCTATAGAAATTGTATCTTTAATTTTTCATATAAATCAATAGGGTTATTAATTATTATACTATATTAGTATTTTTTTAAAATATTTTGTTTCTAAAATTGTATTTGAATAATTTTTTTTATAAAATGGACATATTTTAAAAAAATACAACACTTAAAATGTTAATTAAACAAGCGTTTTAAAATATAAATAAATATAAAAGTGAACCGTATTTTTTAATATGGAGGGAATAATAAACTTGAGGCTTGATATATATATATATATGCTCTTAGGTTCTTAGCAATAATGAGAACGACCGGAGGAAAGTAAGAGAACCTAATGATATATTATAAGCTCTGATATATTTGTCCAAATCCGTGATGAAAGGAATCTTTTTTCAATGCCCTGAAATTTAGACAAAGGATGATGAGATGCGAAGGCTTAGAACTAAAGATAAAAGCATATTCTTTTTCTCTCTTGTTCTTACATGGTGCCTTTCCTTTGTCGCCACCATTGTTTGGTGCATTAGGTAACACAGCATATATATATATAATCATTCCAAAAAAAAAAAAAAACATATTATAATCACAAGATTACCAAAGGATACGCCAGATAAACCTGCTTTTAAAAGTTCCAAGTCGGAATTCTAGAGACTTCTTAATTTCCGAGGGCAATAATATTATATATTGGACCACGATGGGATCACTCATTTCCTCATCCATAGATTCGACGCACAAATTGAATTGATAGGCAAAGAAAATTGACATCGTTTTAGTTGGTGTGGTTTGTTTACTTTCGGAAGGAGAAAATGATAGCTAGATTGACTACAACTTTGAAATTATGGACGAAGACTAATTATATATTTGTCAGGAACTTGGGCCTCTTTTTTTTTTTTTTTTTTTTTTTGGGTACAGAGGAGGGAGGCAAAACTAAAACTTTAAGAAACAAATACCACCAACATTACTAGGTAAAATATCTTCAAATTCTGACAAAATATGATTTCAAACTCGAAAAACATATTACTTGACGAACAAATACGGGCAAGATGGTCGGCAACCCAATTACCTCTTCTTAAAATATAATTAATGAATATACACTATTGTTTTGACAAAAACAACAGATGTCTATAATAATATTGTAATAAGAATGAGTTTGGAAAATACTATTACAGGTAGCATGGACTGTTTTTTGAGAATTAATTTTTATAATCACTTTTTCAAAGTCACAATGTCAAATAAGAATGAGATTCCAACAAATCTTTTCTAACTCTGCTATCATAATAGATTAAATTGCTTTATTTTTCTCTTATTATATGGCCAATTAATGTTTCCCTTTTATTTTTTATTTTTTGGAGAATACCAAAGAAATAATAAATAAAAAATACTCACTATATTTTTGGATTATAATTACACAATCGAGTAATTTTCCCCCTCCTACAATCTCTTCCACTACCGAACTGATCTGATCTGCTCTTATCAATTGTACCAACTTAATTTTGGGTCAGCTTTTGTCTGTACAAAGGTAAAAAATCACATTAGTTGGAATACCAGCTTATTAGATAGAAAGTCGACCAAAAGCGAACCTCTATGACCTAACTCACAACTTATCGATTCCGTTACAACTGCTTTCAAAAACACGTGAACCTTGTAGCTTCTTCAAATACCAGAAATTAGCCATTGATTTCACACGGCAGAAGTCTATACCTTGCATGCTGTTTTCTCCATCCATGTACACCATTGAGTCACTCCTCCCCTCAGTCTTCTAGAAACCCATAGCCCAATTGGTAGAGACTTGTTTGATCTCAATGGGCTACTATCGACAAAGTTTGATCTCCCTTTTCATCTCCTGAAGAAAATAGAAATAGAAACCCATATATAAATAGAGCGATGGGGTGGGTCCGTAGATTCAATTGTTTGACCGGAGGCCCAAAAGGAAGTTGTTCACGAATTTAAATGGGCTTTGCTTCTAACTAAGGTCCGGTGGAACTTCCTTTGAACAGCGTCATTCTGTTCGTTGCCCCTCTCCGTGCTAGTAGTTCTTCTTGAGATAGAAATGGAAGAGGAAGGAGGAGTTTGGAGGGACCGTTTTGGGACAACTCTTTCTACACAAGGAATTGAAAGCTCCATTAGAAGTTAACCCGGATCAGCTTCTTCTTCGGGCACCTTGGCCAACTGCAAAAATAAAATAAAAAAGTGTGTTAACAGCCAGGATTTCAAGACAAATTACACACATATATATGTATCTAAATTAAGTTTGTCTAACCTGCAAACTACAAGTCAAATACAACTCCTTATCAAAAAGACTTGACTCGGTATTTATCAACTCTGTTCCTCACTCTATCCCAAAAATCATGATTAATGTCAAATAGGATAAGGACTACATTATAATCGACTGAGGCGTCCTTCATAAAGATGTGCATCTCCAAACTTCTCAAAGCTCTACCCAAAGACGCACACCCTCTATGACTCACCACAAGACACTCTTTCTTCCAATTCCTTATCAGATACATCATTTTCAACAGACCTAACACCCTAGCTAGAAATGTATAGATACAACACATTCTTCTTTCTTTTTAAAGCCTTCAACTAAGAAATTGGACTGTTTGAAGAACTAGAGGGTAAGAGTAAATCTGAATTGCTTGTAAAAATCTCAAATACAGTAAGAATTGTCTATCCATTCAAATGAAGTTGACTTACACGCAAGCCAAAGTGCCAAAAAACCTCTTCAACAAACCCAAATAGAGGGAGGTTGTAATCATAAATAAACATACACACGAAAACAATTATTTGTACATTTTTTTCTCTAGCCTCAACAAATATCTTGCTAATCCTAACATCTAATTTGTGAAGGTTAGCAAGATAATTTTATCCTAAATGATAGTTAAAAGCAGTCAATTTCTCTCTAGACACCCTGCTAGGACTCCATTCGCCAAAAAGAGGCATATTCTCTTGTCCACTCCTAAGATGTACTACCATACCTACATAAGGGTTTGTCGCCTCCCTAGAAACTCCACTAGAGATAGCCTCAGACACGCTCCTATCCTTTCTAAATATATCATTCTCAACCATACCAGAAAATAAATGAAAGGATAGAGGGTTGCCTATTAAGAATTCCGACGATTCACAAGAAAAGAAGGATCTCCATAGGAAAACATAATCTCCTCCATAAAACTACTCAATAAGGATCTTCGCACTTAGCTAAAAGAGCTTTTTATGAAAATGTATCACAGTAACAACCCCTTCAAAAATCTTCAAACTACACTCACTAACTTGCTAGAAATTTCATACTCTAGAAAACAAAAATCAGTAAAAATAGAGAAAAAAAGGACCAACCAACTATATAAGCACAAAAGCATGAGCTTCCACAGCTCCTTATTCAAACTACAAGCTCAGGTGGTAGGCCCAATTTGATATGGTCTAATCATAAACGACGGTGAGTCCAATATGCTAGATGATGTGGGCACCAATTAATGGCTTTTTTTGAAACCCCACAGCTCCTTCATGTTTTTCAGAGCACTAGCGTTTGATCTTTTTTTCTGAAATAACGCACATATCGAAGTGACATGCATTAAATGAATTTCATCTCAACTAATTAAATCAAACAAAAAAATAAGACAAGTAAAAACAACTCTTGCACCATCCAGAGGGTTGCAGAACTCCTCCAAAGGCCTAATCACTCCATAACAATCTTAGCTAAGCATGTTTGTCAATATTCGGAGAGACTACTGATGTACTTGGATGACATGTGCTATTGTGTGTCCCATATAGATTTCAACTGGGGTCACCCTCTAGTCAAAGCCAACGACGGGCTAAGGTTTTGGCATCATCTTAATAGGGTAACTTTGAGCAATGAAAGCTCCGACATTCAATCTGGAAAAAAAATGCCCTTCACGTACTAAAAAAAATAAAATAAAAGGTGCACGTATTTAATGAAGACATGCTTTATAGACTATCCTTATCCAATCACGATGACACAGAAGTCGTCAAATTGCAAACAATTGACATCAAGTGCACGTATTTCTAAAATTGGTGTCAGAGACTATTGACAGCAAGAGAATAAACCGTCCTACCCACTTCTGCTGTAGCAACTTGATAGACTCTTTACTTGTACAAGAACCTTAATGACCAAAGGTTCTAAGTTCCTCAACTCTACTCTATAAACACTTTATTATTGTTTATTGTTTCCTGACGCACTATAGCCTCCTCAAATACCTTCCCTCTTCGTACATTCATTTAGCCGCTGGAGGGTCACTTAACCTACAAGAAAGACTTGTTTTGAGGTGTTTTGAGTAGAAATGGTCATCTTCATAATCAATCTCCTCTTTTTCTTCAGCCATAAAGATTCCATATCATGGTCGATTTCTGTTTGAATTTTCCTTGACTCATCACAGTGGATCCCAAAATATGATCAATTAATTTTGTTTGCATAAATAGGGTCAGTCAGCATTTTATATCCAACTATGTCCTTGAATGAGCAATCTTAACCTTAACCAAGATGGTTTAGTTCCTTTCTTGCGTTGTAATTACTACAGAAAGATTTGGAACTCGTAAACCAAATGTTTTCTATGATTTTGATTTTTTCCCAATTATCTAATTAATTGTTGTCTCATAAGCACAAAATAGTTAAATCTCAAGACAAAAAAAAAAAATCTTAATTTAGTAGCACACACTACAGGAATAAATCAACATGACAAAAAGTAGAGTGGTAAAATACAACAGAAGTAAAATGATCTCTCAGGTTTTCTTGTTCGAACTAGAAGAAGGAGGACCTTCCAAACGAATATAATCATACATAATCCCCTGGAAAGGGCTGGTGCTTCTAGGTTGTGTCAAAAACACTGTGTTCTCACCAGCAACAAGTCGAGCACTTGGTACGTCTATGCTATACAGCCAATAGAGTCCATGGATTCCATGTCTTGCAATCGAGTTATCCTTCCCTATTAATCCGCTCGAAAATAAAGGATTTGCTTTTGGATAATTTATTCGAACCTTTAAGAAAAGAAATTTGGATTAGTACTGCATTGTAAAAACTAACATGCATGGAAACTGAATGTTCTGTCGGTTTAATTGTTTATTTTTATTTTATTTTTCTGGAATTAATTTTGCTTAGTTAGGGATCAATTAAGAAATTCCATACCTGCAATTCGGAAACAGTAGCTGATGCCAGTGCTACACGCAGTTTATAGATGCCGTTTGGATCCACTTTGTCGAGGTTGAACTTGATTTGCCATGTAGTTCTCTGGTATGTATTAGAATCTTTCTTCCTGCAATCACGAAATTAAAAACTGAAATGAACAGGTTGTTCGTTTAACAATTTAAATCTTGTCCAACGATAAACAGATTTTGACGATAAAAAAATAAATATAAAACATTCTGATTGGTTGTTTTGTTCAGTAATCAGAGGACTAAGTACATTTTAATAAAAACAAAAAAAAACATTAACTAAGGTCGCAGAATTATACCTGGTAACCTGAGCATAGAACCAATCCTTTCTGTAATCGCTAACACCAATGGTGTAAACCAAATCTCCATCGGGATATAACTCAGCATATCTTTCCCACAGTCCGTACTGCCTAAACCTGACAATTAGTACAAGTATTCAATCAATGTTCATATGATGACATGATGGAGCTGAAATGTCGTACTAAGTGCGTGCACAAGGAAGATGGAAAAATTTTATTACAAAAATAAGCCTGTTGCCTTTCCACAAACTAGCATGACTAACCTATCAGGATGATTGACATAGAGTTTATTGATGTACTTAGGATTAGGATCGGGAGCATAAAACTCTTCAGCCGAACGATCAGGGATGCCTATTTCCCACAACGTTGGCCCATCTCTTGGAGGCTCATACACGAGATCACCCATCTCAATGTCACAACCTGTGTTCCATGATTTTAAAATATGGTTTATAGTGGTTGAATAGCTTCCAAAGAGATTTTAACTGAATCAAATCCAGGGTTATACCTGAGGTAATAGTAATGGCAACATCATACCGATAATCACCAATAAAGCCAGGAACCCATGCGTAAAGGTTATAGTCACCAGTGCGTACATTATTAATGGAAAAATAGCCGCCCTCATCTGCTTTGGTCCAGAATTGGTAATCCTGATAGCAAATAACAGGCAACATTATTATCTTCAAGTGTGTACTAGACAAATTTCCCGTAAAATGGCTTCTGTTAAGTTCAACGCAGCATTGAGCCTCTTTTATCCATCCTTCGATAGATTTTCTCAGCGCTTCTTTGTTATGTTGCGGAAATGGTCAAATATAGACAAGATAACCAAAAATCAAATTTGCACCTTGCATTCTCTTTGCCACGATCCAACATCTCCTGGTAGGGCTAGTCCAACATAAGCTCCATTCGCCGGTATATAATCATTGCTGACAAACCTAGACATTGAACAAGACAACCATCATAAGTAAGTACTCGCAAATAAACAAGATCGATCATATCTCCATTCCTACCTGTCTAGCACCGATAGTCTGCCACTAACATTCCCTCGTTGATCCGATTTTTGGTAATCCTCCGAAGCTGGAAAATCATAAGGCCAGCTTTGGACTTCAATCAACATCTAATTATCGCATATATCAATCTTTATTAGTTCTAGCTTATTAAAATGAATTTGCTTGAATAATCGGTATTAGTTCAAAAGTTAATCTCATTTTAGACATCATGAAAATAACCTGCAATTTAGCGTCCTCCCAAAGCGAAAGAGGGTCGTCTCCAGCCATCACAGAATTAAAATAAATAAACATGGGTCCAAATACTTTCTTCCATGCCTCACCAGCTCCAATTTTCGGCACCAAATCTTCTCCCGAATAATGAGCACTGAGAAACATCTGATTATAACATTTTCATCCCATAAAAGCAATTTGTCATAGACCATCATTATAATAAAATGCTGTTAAAAATGAAGAGGCTAATTATCACAATTAAGCTACACAGCTTACCGCAAGGGTGGTTGGGCCGACATGAGAGGTTAAGTTCTGTTTAACTGGTCCACCGGATCGGAACTCATCGCTCGGTGTAATTTGCCAGAACCCTACTGGCGGGTCCATACATATCCACCCGTGTACCTTGTTGTCTTTATTTTCGATTGAGTATTGGTACTTATCATCCACCTATACATTTTATAATGGAAGAAATCAAAATCCTATAACAATGAGAGAGAGAGAGAGAGAGAGAGAGAGAGAGAGAGAGGGGCACATACCTCTCCTTTAAAGTCTGGCTCCACAGGATTGACAAGCTGAACTGCCTCGGGATAGGCCAAGGGTTGACCTCTTGGCGGCAATCGGTCATCAGGTAATGGCATGAATCTTTGTCTATTGTCTGCTACGGCCATGTAGTGAAACCTATCCACTCAAACCAACCATATTAAACAAAAGTTAGCAATCAGTGTTTTTAAAATTCCATTTCTTCAGATTCTCTCAAGTTTCAAGCGGGGAAAAGGGAAAAGGAGAGAGAGAGAGAGAGAGAGAGAGTGAATTTGATTACTTGTCTTTTCTGAGCTTGAATGCAATCCTAGTCTCGCCAAGGTTAAAACCAGGCCAATCTTTTACATGTTCATAGACGGCGTAAGAGTAGAATCCTGAGGAACCACGAAGCATTACAAACCTATAACAGAATTTTATCAGCTTTGTCATTATTGATTCCTTTATCAAAGGAAAACATTGAAACAAATAAAGAATTACCTTTTATCTATGTTCAGGGGAACGAGCTTGCCCTCTTGTGAGGAATCCCATGTTCTTGTGAATGAGACCTCCACTTGTTCTTCGGTTTCCACTATAACCTTAAAACTTGTTCCTTTAATCCTGTACCGTAATTAGACCTTCATTGAGCTTCAGTTCTAAAAGGACCGACCAACCGTTATTTTAGTTATAGACCGTCAATTTAATATTCAGGCGTTCAGATAAAATTGCACAGAATGTGCTGATCATATATAGCCAGCAAGTATTCAATCAGTTTCTGGTAAATTTAAGTCTGAATTTAATGGCAAGATTTTTAAGCTGGCTGGTTATTGTAACAATTTAAGAGTTGAATTATAAGCCTGTTAGAGAGGGCAAAGATAGAGAATATACACATCAAAAATTCCGGTAGTGCCCGCGCTTCCTGCTGCGTTCCATACGAGGTCCCAGTACCTGCATATCAAATCAAAAATGCAGAAATAAACATAGTTTAGTATCGATACATCTGATCAGTCAATTTACATAACCAATTTTTTATGCATGCGCTTAGTTGATTTAGCATTTTGCAATCACCAAAATTCCTAACGAAGGATGTTTGATTCTCGAAGGAACCTATAGTTTTAGTTCTTCAATTTTTCCTTAAAAGAAAAAAAAGAACAGAAATAAACAAAGGTAGTGTACCCTCTATTAGATTCATCATTTAGAACTTCAAGTAAATTGTCGATGCCACTATATCGTATGCCGGTGACAATTCCTTCTGGATTTGACAAGGTGACTTGCAGTAATCCGTTATCCATCACCACCTATGTACATGCAACATGAAAGCTAAACTTAAACAAGAGATTGCCTAGCATTCAAGAGAAAATAAAGAATGTATAACAAGATTAAAACGCAACGGGGAAATTAAATTAAATTTACATGACGATCTTGAACAAGGAGTTGCACCCCTAAATGTGGCATATTGCTAAGGCTCTTGACACACGGAAGATGGAAACAAACAATTAAAGTTTAGATGTCTCAATTTAGGCTGCAATAAAACTATTAGTGGTGCTTATCAATAGTAAGTACTATGAGATGAGAAGAACTTTGAATGAAGGAAGTCAAAATATATGAAGGGCATTATAAGAATCTATTGGCCTTAGGTTTCCTTGAAATGGAGGCAAAGCATTCTGTTTAGCACTTTTGTTCTTTTGATCTCTTAACTTGGTCGCCACTCGCCGCCTCCATTAGTTTGGTGCATTAGATAAAGGCGTGCAAGAATCGCTATATGTGGAGGAGAGCTGCAAAGCACACATCATTAAATTATGACAACTGTGTGAGATGGAGAATTAAAACTCAACAACACACACATATACATGGTTAACGTTAAAAAAACAAGTCTAGTTTTACACACATAAAACTTCCAACCGTCAGAATTCGGTATAATTAATTAATTTTTGTTAAAAACATGCAAAACTTAGTTATGGGGACGGCATATTAAATCTATCCTAAAATGTATATATTATTTAAAAGATGGATCACAATGGATCCGTAATAATTTCTGTATTTTTTTTTCGTCAACCGTAATAGTGTTTTTGGATTGATTTTTGCATACTTCAAAACTAATTCATTTCTGAACATAGTTAAAAGACATTCTCCAACACATGATTTCGAGTATTGTGAGACTAATTATTGTATTTTTTCTATTATGCTTGACATAGGTGTTTCAATCTTCTTTTTTAAAATAAAAAAAATTATGTAGAAAACTTAACCTCCACATCAAGGAACTATAACATAGAAGTGAGATATAGCACGCATTGATGGCATGAGAAACCACTTTGATCAGATTGGAATCATCAATTGCTTCAACTAGGTTTATCTCAAATGCTTAATTATGTACTTGCTGAGCATAGGACAGATTAAGATAGAATGAAACTAGTCAAGATTTTCCTGTAGAGAGAGTTGACATATAAATCCGAATGTCGAGAATAATTTTTGTCTCATCTCATATAGACATCAAAAACTAATACTATCGGTCCAACCTTTCCATGAAACGCTACCTAAATAACCAAAGACAACGATAGTCAAATGACCAAAGACATGAATGGAATCATGTAACATATCATAAATTGGAGGCACATTTTCGACTTCCAGCTTTGCTTTGGGATTATACCATAATTTAACCAATCTATAAAGGAGGCAACGCAGGGCCATGGCCGCCTCAGGTTTGAGCTCAATCATTTGAATTAATTATAACTTAGGCCTTATAATTTAGTAAATCTAATTAATGAATCCTCATCATTTCAAAAACTATATATTTAAAGCTTATTTTTAAAATTCGTTAGTAACTTATTCTATCATTAATTTTATGCCCTTTGTCAATCCATCTTTTTTTGTTTGAATAAATAGAAAAAGGAATAGTAAACCAGATCATATGATAGAGTTTAAAGAGAAAATAAAGCATTTTATTAAATAGAAAACTACTAAATTAAGGATGATCAGCACAAACGTTTAATTAGTTTTTATACTGCAGGTTTTCATTAATTAGTTTCAATAAACTACAGGGACTGAGTTACAATTAACTCTCCATCATTCTTAATTTTCCATCTCAAAAGAAAAAAAAAATTCAAAAAAGAAAATCGTTTGTCCCCAACTGTGACTTTGGCCCTACCTGCCCCCGAACCAACACACCACAAATCAATTTTAGTCCTTGACGTGAGAATGGAAACAGGAAGTATGCTCACAACTAAACCAATTGGAGGAAAAGGATAGTTGATACAAAGCAATTTCATGGATCTCGCAGAGAATTTCTTTCTGCAATGGTGTTTGCAGATTGATATAGGAATATACATCTAATCCAATCACAAACCTAACTGGATATTTTACTTGAATGAACTTGAAGCTTCATTACTGGATCCAGAAAATGAAGGACCTTCTAGACGTATGTAGTCATACATAAGACCCTGGAAAGGGCTGGTGCATCTCGGTTGCGTCAAGAAGACGGTATTCTCTCCTTCAACTAGTCGCACTCCTGGAATGTTTACATTATACAGCCGGTAGAGCCCATGAATCCCATGTCTAGCAATTGAGTTGTCCCTCCCTATCAATCCACTTGTAAATAGTGGACGTTGTGCTGTTGCGTCATTAACACGAACCTTGAAAAGATGCCCAAAAAAAAAAGAAAACGAACCTTTAGCATTGTAAATTTCAAGCAAAAATGGACATGGTCAAGTACTGGACCTTTCATTCTCTCACTCCTCCATGTGCACCATGCAGTAAGTGAATATTCCGTTTGGGAAGTGCTATTACCTGCAGTTCTGCTAGGGTTGCAGATGCAATTGCCACTCGCAGTTTGTAACTACTGCTGCGATCCACTTTGTCAAGTTTGAACTTGATCTGCCATGTAGTTCCTCCATGTGTATCATCTTCTTTCCTCCTGTACTACAGAGAAGCTTGAAGATGAGACATCATTGTCATAATAGTTAATCTATTGACGAGAAAAGGCGTCAGCTGAGAGTAAGAATATGACAAATAATAATGAAAGGCTATGATCGTAACTACCCATGTTTTCAATGCTTGTCAAAATTCAAAGTCCATACTAATACTACATATGCTTCATTGTTGTTTAACCAACGTGTAGGAGATGAGACCTGGGTTTATCTTTAAGATAGTGCATTTCTAATAAATAATCAGTGTAAATCAATTGGCCTTTGGGCATATTAGATTCAAAGAATACACATCAGCTACTTGGTAAAGTATGATGTTTTATTGGATGGAGCTATCTAGGTAATAAATCTCAACTAGCATTATGACTGACACTTGGAGTCGAGCAAAGCCGAAGATGAAAGAATTGCACCTGACAACCTGAGCAAAGAACCAATCTTTTCTGTAATCACTGAGACCGACTGTGTAAACCAAATCTGTATCAGGGTACAAATCTGCATATCTGCCCCACAAACCATACTGCCGAAATCTGCCAGTAGAGGGGTAATGTTAGATACATTATACAGGAACATATATCAATATTCAAATCTAAGTTCAGATTTCCCAAAATACTGCAAAGATCCACCAGAAAATAAACCCCATGTGGAAGATCATCTTTTACAAGTATTACCAGGTCTACAATATCTTATTAGATCATGTTAAGACTCATGTTGTTAAACTCATTAAATTTTTCAACCAATCCAAAATCGGAGTTCAACAAAATGGATTTGGCAACACCAACATCAAGTTTCTAGAGATATTGACCCATGAAGTCCATCAATCAGTTAGAAAGGGAAAAATTCTTTAAAATTATGTTAAAGTACAAGAAGAACTAACTTGTCAGGATGATTGGCATAAAGTTTATTCATAAACTTTGGATCAGGATCTGGAATGTAGAACTCAGCAGCAGAACGATCAGGGATGCCTATTTCCCACAATGTGGGTCCATCTCTTGGAGGCTCATACACTAGATCACCCATATCAGTATCACAACCTGTGTTGCATGATATTTGAACCCTGTAACATCTATCATTGAATTACGGTACTCAAAAGAGATCATTAGAGTTTGAGGAAGAAAACCAGAAATTATGTTCATGATAGCATCACATCTGTAATCTCCAATAAATCCAGGGACCCATGCATAAAGATTGTAGTCCCCACTGAGTATGTTTTTAATGGTGAAATAGCCATTCTCGTCTGATCTGGTCCAGAATTGGTAGCCCTAACAACAAGTAACAAGGAAGGTTAAGATGAGTTCAGCAGTGTTTAGCTGCGACCCCCGATCCAATAAGAAGTAAGAAGTAAAAAGTGAGATTACAATTTCACGTTATTTAGATCCAACCACAAAACCTAATAATAAGTAACAAAAAATATTATGATAAATTGAAAGCAGCATTTAGATGCAACCCAAAAAATAACTTCTCTACACAGATAATATCACTTTTTCTTTTGAAGTGTTCTAGGAGCTGGTGATGACCATGAATTATCTCTCCTAAAGATTTCCTTTATTAGCACCCCCACAAAAGCTGATATTAAGAGCACTTTCAAAGAATATGCATTTAACTAACTATATAATGTAAGAAAAAAGGATGAAGGTAGAGCATTCTAATGGTCTTCTAGAAATATCGTTTTTCAAGTGTATAACACTAGCATTCACAATTGACACTCATCCTCTTCAATGTAATGCATTTGGCCCTATAAGAAAAGGCAGTGAAAGAGAGGAAACTTTGCACCACCAGTTTGCCTTTTGAATTCGGAATGATTCTAAACTGTCAAGCCCAACCCGTTTAATTGTATCTATGGATGCTAAATAGGATTTGGCTTACAAATTTTAATTTCAATTGGGATCCAAAATAAAGCACCAAAATGATATGAACTGCTGACTGTTGCAATCATTTTAGAACAGCAAGGAAAATCTGTGACGTTATGTACAAAGGAGAAAAGAATACTATTACTAGTTTTGTTTCCTAGCACATTATGTAAAAAGAAAAAAAGCCCCCAACAAGTAATAGCTAAAACACCACAAAAATACGTCTCAAAGCAAATGGTTATGAACATGGTAGCTAAGTGCCTTTGAGTTAAAAAGCATAACAGACTATTTATATTTTCTAAACTATGAAGAAAAAGTTAAATAACCTCACATAGAACATGGAAGATCATTAAATCACCTTGCATTCTGTTTGCCATGATCCAACATCTCCTGGTGGGGCCAGCCCCACATAAGCACCACTTGCTAATATATAGTCGTCACCTATATTCCTAGGCAATATAATAACAAAAACTTTAATCAGATTCATCTAGCAGATCAAACATCAGAAGACAAAAAAAGAAGATAAGTAATTTTAATAATAACATGAAGAATGGTAAATCCTTATCTCGCATATATGAATGTACTTAGGCCACAATCATTTCTGCTTTCCATTAATTTATTATTTACGAGATGGACTATTATTTTCCCACTTCTATGGCTACCTGTCTTTGACTAGCAGTCTTCCACAAACACTCCCTCGTTCTTCTGACTTTTGGAAATCCCCAGAAGCAGGGAAGCTGTATGGCCAGCTTTGGACTTCAGCCACCATCTGTATGTAATCTTAGCTCAGTGTTTGTCCAACTGTCAGATCAATTTACAAGAACATGAACTTGCAGTTTGGTGTTAAAACCTGCATTTTAGCATCTTCCCACAGGAAACGAGGGTCCTCTCCATTTGATGCAGAATTAAGATAGATAAAAACAGGGCCAAAAACCTTCTTCCATGGTTCACCATGGCTTATACTCAGTACCAGATCTTTTCCCGCATAATGTGAACTATGAAACATCTAATGAAATGAAGCCATTTGAGTCAAAACTTAATGGAGTTGGGGCATACAGACAATAATAGCGATTATGATACAGACATGCTTACATCTGCCAACATGTCAAAGCATTTCTACAAAACTATAGTCTAAGATCAATCACTTACAGCAAGAGTGGTGGGGCCAACATGAGAGGTCAGGTTCTGTTTTAGGGGCCCAGCAGTTCGGAACTCATCACTTGGTGTGATCTGCCAGAACCCCACAGGTGGGTTGAAGCATATCCAGCCATGGACTCGATTATCTTCGTTTTTGCATGAATATTGATACTTGTCATCCACCTAAAATTACGATCATAATGAGAAAAATGCATAGGATTCTTTGTATACACATTCCATCATGTTAAAGAATAAGGCATTTCTATCTGTTTTCCAGGGAGCTGGTCCAGAAAGTTTGCATTGGTAGGCACTAGAGATTACAGAAACACAAGCTTTGTTAGACAAGCTTGGGAAAAGTTCTGCGACCATCAACAAATCAAGATTGCAAGAACCCATCCAACAACAACCAAAACAAGAAAGTGATAGAGGGGGAATATAATGTAAGACAAAAAAAGAAAATTGTAAGTTACTTGTAAATCACCTCTCCTGTGAGTTCTTGCAGTTTAGGATTAACGAGCACGACAGCTTCTGGGTAAGCCAGGGTTTGACATCTTCCTGGCATGCGGTCATCAGGTAGGGGCATCAATCTTTGCCGATTATCTGCTATGGCCATGTACTGAAACCTATCATCCACTCCAAGAGAACCCCATAGTAACTTCATTGTATGATCATATACGAATGAAGACAATTTTAACAACTATTTTGCTGATTTAAGTAGGGGTGTTTTCTTCTTTTTTTATTTTTGCCAATAGTAAAATTTAAAGTAGACCCTATAAATTCCTAAACTTAAAAGAAAAATAATATAAATATCACCAGTGGTACTAGATAATATATATTAATATTCACAAAACATTCAGTTGAAGTATCTTTGTAATTGTTCATTCAACTATATTTAATAGCAACCAAACCAGCATGTTTTCAACTTTTTGTCAACATGAAGTGAATTATTCACTCCGTAACCACAAACAAATCTCAGGCAATCTATTAGGTAATAGACAAAGATGCTAAAAATTTGTTTACTTGTCTTTCCGGAGTTTAAAAGTAATCCTTGTTTCGCCAATATCAAAACCAGGCCATTCCTGCAAGTGCTCATAAATGGCATACGAGTAGAAGCCTGAGGAGCCACGTAACAATATAAACCTAGGGGAGAATTAGAACAGTTGTCATTATTTCTATTTTAAAATCTCCAATTCCAATGACATGCATGCAGTTATATATACATTGAGACATATATAAATTAAGCAAGGACCTTTTATCTATAGTCAAGGGAATGTATTTTCCTTCAAGTGAGGAATCCCACATTCTTGTGAATGAGAGCTCAACCTGCTCATCATTTTCCACTACAACTCTAAAACTCGTTCCACTAATCCTGCACAGCAATCAGTTCATTCACACAAAAGTATGAATCAGAACCAGCATTATTTTATTGCAATAACAGTGAAGAAGTCCACAATTAAAATTTAGCACTGACGTGATAATGCATTTTGAGAATAATGAGGAAGCAAGAAACAAAGGTTAACCACAAAACTCTGTATCTTTTTATTAATTTAAAAGCTTAATAGGAACATGCAACACAAACACACACACACACGTATATATATACATATATATATATATATATATAGAGAGAGAGTGAGTGAGAGAGAGAGAGAGAGAGAGAGAGAGATGTGTAAGATGCAAATTTTGTACAGGATCACATATCAACATTAGGCAATGATTCATTCCAAGACTCGCCAGCATAGATTCATCCTACTCTCACGCTATTTGAATAAAAAAATTGCAACACAACTAAATTGCTAATAGTGATGAAACTTTAATGCAGTTGTGATGCTACGCAGATCCTAATCCTTATTCATTTGTCGATGAAAATTCATTAAAGATAATCCAGGTGATTTTGAAATTTGCAAACCTATTAAGTCATGACTGTTCTCTGACAATAAGATAGCATGGTACAAGCAAGAAAAAATTCCAGTTTCAATTTTGGCTTCGTAATCATGCAAAGACTTTAATTGTGGAAACCATATAAGAAAGAAAAAAAGAGGCATACACATCAAATATTCCCTTGCCTCCTGGTGGATTCCAGTGAAGATCCCAGTACCTACAAATAAAAACAAGTTAGTTCCTAGTCATAAGTGAGAGGAATCTTCCATCATTATCAGCATGAACAGCTTCAAAAGCAAAGGCATCTCTGAATGACTACAAATGATTTTCATGCCTAAACCTGTGAATCTGCATTGTTTAATTCACTATCCAAAGATCAAACAGTCCAGCTATGGTTGCAAATGTATGAGTCCCCAACTCAACTACAAATTAGTTGTTGCTGTTTATGTCCTTGTAAACAGGGTTATCTGGAAAATGGCCATGCCACAAGTTACGTGTGGCCTAACCATTAGACTAGAAAATAGAAAATAAAGGAAGGATGTTTGAACTATCTTTCTATTCGGTATACAAAGAAATATGTGTCAAGACAGAAAAAAGAAAAGAATTAACTATTAAGATGCTTTAGGAAAAAAGAACAGAAAAGGCAGAGGAACTGAAGCAATTTTAACACCATGTACCCTCTATTTGTTTCACGATTGAGAACTTCAAGCAAATTGTCGATGCCATCATATCTTATTCCAGTAACAATTCCTGCTGGTTTCGATAAAGTAACTTGGACTATGCCATTATCCATCACCACCTGAAGAAATCATGCAACTAAATGAAAAACGGTTCATAAAAAACCAACCTAAAACTAATAACAGTTGCCATTGTTCCTTGAAGTTAAATCCGAACCCATATGCAACCGTATCCACTCAAGAATAATGAGTCCTCTATACTGCCCAGCACACGAAATACCTAAATAAAAGCATTTAAACAAAATCATTGCATAATTACATGATGATCTTGAATATACAGTCGGACTGCTTGAAATGGCATGGTGCGACCACCCTTGTTAACTCTTGAAGCTCTTTGAACACGATCGAAATCTCCACCTGAATTCCATATTCATATATAAGTTATTAAAAAAAAAAAAAAACTAGCAATTGATGTATTTAGAATTAGTGGGATTAATCAATCCTAATCACTCTGTTTCAATGTGCCGTTTTCTTGCTTGGATAGTTGGTTTGTTAGAAATCAAAATCAAGCATTGAATTTTTGTTTTTCAAATGCGGAATTCCATTCCTTAAATTGATTGATAAATCCGTCCGAAAAAACAGAAAATTTGGTTACCTCCCGGCTTTTGAGAAGTGAAGTTAGTCACGTTGTTGTGACGTGTGCAACCGCCACAGTCACCGAGCGAGCCTACAAAAACTTTGCAATCTTTTCCACATTAAATTATACAAAAGGCGACTCAAGAATCGGCGGTGGCGAATTTGGTGTTTATGATGGCTGTAATGGTTGTTGTTGTTGTTGATGGTGGTGGTGGTGGTGGCGACAAGATTGGAATGTTAAATTACGTATTGGTTTGTTGTTCTGTTGTCGAATATCAACATCACGAGTACCTCTATTAACTGTCATAATTGATGATTCGGCAAGTGCGGCTTCGCTAGCCGTTATCGCAATGATATAGGAAGACAGAAAAATAATATCATTTACTCTGTTTTCATATTTCAACAAGCTCCTATTAAATCTCTCTTCTATTCAATTGAATCCAATTTTAACATTTTTTATTTTTTTCACCTTAAGAGATACCGTGATATTAGCTAGCATGTAAATCGAAACTATTATACTAATTCTTTTGAATTATTGAATTTAACAATTGATTACTCACACTCAACACGCTTTTTAAAAAATTACTTTCTTGTAACTTTTGTTAAAATTCCAATTTCTAAACTAATTGGTAAGTTTTTTTTTTTTTGAAGAAATCGATGGTTTGAATGTGACATATTATATGTACAAGCTGCAATAACTTCTAAAGAGTCATATCCATAAAAAAAACAATATGAGAGTAAAAAATATTGATCATTATTTAAAAATTACTTTCTTATAACTTCACTTATCATTCTAATTTTTAAATTAATTGATGTTTAAAAATTACTCATTTTTTTATGACTTCTCTTTAAATTCCAATTGATCATTCAAACTCTTTAGATTTATTAAATTTAATAATTGATTATTCACACAAAATGTATTATTAAAAAATTACTTTGTTATAATTTTTATTAAAATTATAATTTTAAAAATAATTTGATATTTTTTGTAAAGAGATCAATGGTTTCAATTTTAAAAATTACTTTCTTATAACTTTTCTTAAAATTCCAATTTTTAAATTAATTAATATTTTTGCTAAAAAAAAATCAATAGTTTGAATTTGATGTATTATATTGTACAAACTATAATAACTTTAAGAGAGTCATAATCATAGAGAATATGGTGGGAATCAAACTAATTCTTTGTTTTGTTTCGTTTCGTTGCAAATTATATTTTCGACCAAAAAAGGAGTCTTCGCTCATGCAAAAGAATCCACAACCAACAGAAATGACAGGTTCCAAACGCGAGAGCCACAAGCCCACAATAGAAACTAAAGCTAGCAACAACTACCAACCAGAGGCCTGTGTCTTATCTTATTGGGCCTTGAGAGCCGGATCACCTAGGCTTTATCATTAAAATCTGGCCCATGCAGACAAGCACCCTGTAACTCATGGGCTTTGAAAGCCCATTCTGGTAAAGGAGAAACTAGGGGAAAACAGTGCTTGTAAATCTATTTACTTCATAAAACTGCAATTTCTGTGCCCAATCATCATGGTTGACTGACTCTACTGCTTCCAAACCCGCTGCGAATCCGTCAAACATCATGGATGCAGTCAACCATAAGACAAGCACGAACACTTGCACACCGGACAAAGAGAAATTCACAAAATAACCATCAATCGACAACGTAGAATGCCTGCCAATAACAGATTAACAGGAACGTAACTTTACAAAAACCAATCTTTTATGAACCAAATGGTGGAGCTCGTTCCAATGCGAATAAGTCTTTAACATAATCTGTCATTATACTACCACAATCTAAAAGCGTTTAGCATTGTAATAACAGTATGTTCCCAGATGATTACAGATACAGATAAAAGGTGGTAGTTTTTTAAGCTGATTTACATAAGCTCAAATGCAAATCTTCTCCTGTGCTAATGCACTTGATTATTCTCTGTTTTCCTCTGGAACAGAAATGATCCTAATAGAACAGCAATGCCAGTTATTGCAATAGTGAATAGAAGCCGTTTGCGTGAAAATTCCTGTGGCTGCCTTCTTTGAGGATCTTGTGGCTGTCTTCTTTCTGCTTCCCTCACATCCCTTTAAACAAATTCCAAATAAGTTAAGAACCATGAAAAAATAATTAAATCCAAAAGTTAATACATCTCCAGAAAACATAAAGCAAGTCCCCTACAATGATCGTTGGGATTGCACAATCCAAAGTGTTTACAAAAGGAGGGCACAGATGCTGAAGCCACGGGCGTATCAACACAGGAAAAGCATGAAAAAGGTAAGCAAACTCTCAGTTCCTCTACCAAAGGAGGATATGGATGCTCACCGTGGCCTCTCATTCTAATCCATACATGCCAATGCTTGGGCCAATTATCCAGAAACAAGCCAGACACTTACGAGGTCTGCTACCAGTGCACCATTGACACCAAAAGAAATTCCATATTTTCACAGATTAATAATACATGCAAACATAATGTTGCAATTAGGGAAGATTTTGAGAAGGAAAGAGGGGAAGGGCTGTTTAGCATCCGCCATCTCAGACACATGCATATCTACTGCCACAGTTTTAATCATCACTATCAATGCTTTGCAAATTTTTACATTTTCATATCCACCATCTCAGATTATGTTTGCTGAAATACATCCAACATGCTTCGTATGATAAATCAATCATATCAAAGGCATACGTGCATAACGCACTATGTGATGCACATCTTCAATGAGAGCATTAATTTGTAGCACTTGGAACCAGAATGTCAAGAAAGGCAATATAATATCATATTCATTCAAAAATTAGAAGCAAAAAGTATAGTATATCTACCTGGAAGACCCTACAGTAGTATCTGGCATGCCAGTGCATCTAGAGTCATGATTATATCTTTCTCGTAGTCTAATGTATCTATTACACATGTGACAGAGTTCCGTCCGATTTCCACACACCTCCTAAAATTAAGAGAAAAAAGCGTTTATTAAATTATGCTTAAGCATGAAGCAGAAACCAACATTGAAATTTCTAAATCTTGTGTGTCCCTACCTGATGCTCAGCTAGATCAATTGCTGGCAATGGAAACTCACAGAACTCACATGTGACAATCCTTTGGGGGCAATTTTCACCTTTATGGACAGCTAGAATTTCACGTTCCATTGTCTCACTACAAAGTGAACATGCTACCTGCTCAAAAAATAGGTCAATAATATAGAAAGCATCAACAAATATATTAAGGTCGACAATAAAATAAGTACACACAAACAACCAATCCTCTTGAAAAGCAAACAGCCAGGAGCTGTAGCATTGGGTATCTCAGTCTTCAGCACCCACAACCAATAACAGAACTTCATACTGTGTATATAAGTAACATTTGCTTTAAATTGAAGGTTCCTGCATTCGTCAACCCCGCTACAAATGCATGTGCGTCAGTCTTAACACAAGAGAAACTATGAACCACAGACCGTCCCCCTCTGAAACTCCTGCTAATTACCTCATAGCAAAGTATCACTATGGTCCACTGTTTTCTCCTTCCTTTCCAGAAGGAGAGAGCTCCAAGAAATAGCTAATTTGTGAAAATACACATAACTGATAGTGCCAGAAGGAATGGCGTCACAAACAGAATGCTTTTTTCTTTTTTTCCATTACACCCCCTCAATTGCCCCTTCTCACCACATTACTGTATTACTTGAACTAGTGACCAAGGATCACCATTAACAAAGACACATGCATGATGACATGGTGACCAAGGATCACCATTGATTGATGCCAGAAGGAATGGTGTCACAAACAGAATGCCTTTTTTTTTTTTTTTCATTACACCACATCAATTGCCCCTTCTCACAACATTCCTGTATTACTTGAACTAGTGACCAAGGATCACCATTAACGAAAACACATGCATGATGACATGGTTCTTTATTATTATTTTTTTACAGTAAAGTTCCGGCATGATTAACTGAAATAAGCTGTCAAAGAAGGAAAAAAATGAAGAGCATCTGGTCTGAAATAAGAATGAACTCTGAACTGAAAAGTTAATACAGTAGCTCTCCGCTAAATAAAAAGCAATGGCTTCCAGTACACCAACATACCGGAGCATGAGTGTTCAAGAAATGTTCCTCGGCATGTTTCTTGGGGACCATATCGCTGCAAATTTTACATTTTTCGAGATTTCGCGAACAATGTGCATAGTGCAAATCAATATTTGAGGAAGGAATTGCTCTGTCACTGTAAACAGAAAAATTAATTAAAAAAAATCACTAATCAGCATATCAGTAATGTTAGAGCATAAGACCAATCATCAAAAGCTGAAAATTGTTATCAAGAAGTACACAAAAGTGCCATTCATCAATGAAAAAGTAGACAAGGAAAAAAGTAAACATGCACACAACATTCGAGAACAAAAAAAACCAACATATTACCAAGAAATGCACATCAAACCAAGATCAAATGGAAATCATCAAGAAAAACTTGATCCGCATAATAATTCCTGTAAAATTACGAAGGCTAAGAAATAGAAAGAATCTAACAATAAACTGGGAATAAAAACTTACAATGAATAATGGATTGAACACAATTCATGACTCAAATGCCTCAACATACAAGCATTTAAGAGTAAGAGTTGACCAAGGTCACAAGAAACATTAATCAGGATAACAAGCAGATCAAAAAAGAATTAAACAGAATTTAAATCACAAATATTATAAACAACAATTAAAGATTCAATCAACTTAAAAAAGAGAGCTGTAGAAAGAGAGAGTCAAGAATTAACCCCTAATAAAAAAAACACAAATTAAAAACTCGATAATCATAATTACCAGTGACTGCAAATGCTAGTGGATTCCTCAGATGCAACTGCCATATTCGAGATATTAAACAAAGACGCGTTTTCTTCGATCAAAATCTTGAAGGAAACCTATACACAAATCGAAATCGGATTAGATTACACAAAAATAATGATCGATAAGCAGACACGAGGAAGAATTAATTAGAGGTTGTGATTTTACTTTTCGTTTTCAATTACCTTAAACAACTCTGTCTTCTCTGCTCTTTGTTTTATTGTATTGTAATAATTTGATTTTTTTTTATTTTTTTATTTTTTCCTTTCAAGAGTTGAAGAGGAGAGCTATTTGATGATTACTTTGGTTCGGTAGAACAAACTCTTTACTTTTTCCTTTTTTTTTCAATTTTTATTTTTTACTGATTGAAAGACTTTTTGGGTACCTTAAAGTCCACATTTTACACTACTCAAACAAATGCTCTTCTTGTCTTCACACGTTGTCCACACTCGAGTTTTACGAGCTCTCAAGCCTTTACCTGGGCCCTTCCAGGCAATTAACATTTTCGGTCCAGACAAACATGCCATATAAAGATCGGTCGATTAGGCTAAGGTTTTGATTATTAAGGCTTGGGATAGTGAATGGGCCTAAACATAACCTTGCGGGATTTAGATGGCTTGTTGCTCAAGTGTTTGAACAATTCTTGCGAGAGAACTTGTTCCATATTTGAAAAATGCAGTTTCTATGAATCTTTATTTTGTGAATAGTATGTTTTTTTAGTGAATTATAAAGATAGATTTATTCTGTGTTTTTTTTTTCTGACGTTAACTATTGAAAAAAACAGCCTACTTCAATTATTATTTTATAATAATAAATCTTACGTGCAACAGAATAATATTGATCATCATTATCTAGAAAGAGTTTTTTCTTCTTTCTCTTGGTGAGAGTGGGCTAAAAATCAAGAAAAGAAGCTAAAAAAAATGTGATTTAGATAATCATAGAGATGTTTCAAACAGATTTTACATATTCCGTTATAACTAACTATATATAATTGAAAAAATAGAGATCCTATTTTAAAATATATGTCAAAACCGTGTTATATATATATACATACAAGATTATTTAAATTAGTATAAAAATTGTTTTGGAAATTTGTATTTTCATTGGAAAAAGGTATTTAAATCGCAATATCTTTGATTCATACAATGTTGGCATTGCCTTAATTTGAATGTAAAAAAAAAAAAAAAAATTACAAAAAGCGACCCAGTAAGCAGCAGTGGCAGTGTTGGCATGGGGTGTTAGTATGGCAGAAGCTGCAATAGGCTCTTTCAGAGTTGGTCGGGCTGCTGTTGGTAGCGTCGAAGAAAGACACCATCTGTAGTGATAATTTGTATCAGAACTTTTTTAGTTTCATCAAAATATGCCCAGGAAAAGGCACCAAAATCATATCAAGAATATTATAATCTATATACCGGAGCCAATAGTACGTAGTATTTTCCTTGCACAAACATCTTGTCCGTATCTTTCTTTTCCCTTTATGCGTTTGGTTTATCTTTTATATATATAGACAGAGAGAGAGAGAGAGAATCAAGAAAGAGGATTCCAAGAGCTTACTTAAAATCTAGAAATACATATTGATCTAACTACGTATAGTTATTCAGCAAGGCAATACCTATTTGTAACAATTTCAAGAGGTTTAACTTTTAATAAGATTTTTTTCTTTTCCTTTTTTTTTATTCAAACTTCTGGTTAAGAAAATTTATTGAATTTTTTTTTTAATATATACACCAAAACAATGTGAAAATATGCTTATAAAATCATATAAAAAAATAATTTTTATTATTATACAAATTGATCTGAAAATATTTTTACAATCAAATATATATATATATACCTAAAAACTCCGGAATTAATGCTTGTCAATTATATATCAATCACATTCGTTGTGCATATAATGAATTGATGATAGCAATCCGTCCATTTATAAAAAAATAATAGTTGAAGTACGTACAACCATGTTACTTTTTTCGCTTTGGTGACAAGGTATCTCATACTATTGTTAAAGTCTTGCATACATGGTCCATATAAATAGTACCCTATCTTGGCTTCCAATAGAAAGCGTCGAAAGTGACTGCCGATTTACTAAAGACACCCATAATAATTGTTCTTACTTATCTAAAGCAACGAGCCTAACTCACTATGTTCAAAACAATGGGAGAGATTTTATTTGTTTAACCATCCGTACATGCAAAATAATTGGTGGAGTAGCTGTAGGCATTAACTGTAGTATAGCTAGTAGCCATGCCACTTACTTTAATTAATATACAGGATTTCATTGGTATATATTAATTAAATTTATAATATGTGAGTGCTGGTACCATACTGAAGATATTCCCTATTTTCTAAAGTCAACTTTATTTTGTTCAACCCGACTAGTTCAACTCCGACATCATAATCTCCCTCAACAGGGACAGTGCAGACGGTTGCAATTTACAGACCTTACGGTCCGAGATAGGTGGTCCTGTTGTGTGTAATGAGGTTTTAAAACCTTGAAGAATGAGTTGGTTTTCTCACATTTAGTATATTGGTGCTGGTGTTTGCTAATTAATGGCTACCGTGAAGGATGAAATATCTAAAAACAAATCTTTGTAGTTAAACGGAGGTGCTTTCGATTACTAAGTCTTTTTATGAAGGAGAATCGTAGCTTGAGAAGATAGTGGCGTAAATATAAATGAGATGATAGAACAATTATATTGAGGGAAAAAAATCATAATATATAATTCTAAGTTTCATAATTGTTTATATACTTATGAATCTTACTGAGTTGCATGAAAAAAAAAACATATATATAAAATTATCAATCAATTTATTGTAAATAACTTTTAATTTTTATTAAAAGATCAATTTTTTATGTCCATGGATCACTATGGAATAGGCATATGATAACGTCATGAATATTGTCTATTGGATAAAAAAAGATGTTGTGATATGTTTTCATTTAATGAGTGTACAATTTATAATTTTAGTTGATGGAGTGTAGATGAAAACACTCGGGTCATTGGTTGGTTCGCCGAGAACAATTTTGATTGTTTATATAGAGATCATTCGGACGAATTTTATCAATTCGATTTTTTCTCGAACAGAATAATAGATTGAAGTTAGAATATAACTTTTCTATTTATGACTCTTAAATGAAATTCAAAAATATATGAGTATCTGAGTATATCAAAACATGTGGGAATTTTGCAAGGCCATATGTAGTTATTGATATTGGTGTTTCGAAAATTTTGTGCCATAGGAAAAAAATGATGCATTATAAGAGGATTTGACCTTTTCCTAGATAAAAGATGTTCATGTTTCAAGCTTTAAAAAGAAACATGATCACTACAACTAGGGGTGCAGCAAAGAGTGAATTTTAGAAATGTGTTATATATAATTTTTTTTCATGTCATCGTGTCTATATATATATATATTGTTTCTCTAAGAAACTTGAGAGTAGATATGATAGGGATGTGATTCCTAACCATCAAGGTTCAAATCTTGTATTAAGTTGTGAAAAATTATTATTTTTTATATAAATTCCTTGATTTTGATGTGGATAGCTTGTTGTTAATAAAAAATGATAATCTCACTTTTAAAATTTAAAATTATCAGTAATAACTAAACATAAAAAACACTCAAAAAAAAAAAACAAAAAACAAAAAAGAGCAATTGTTTGGTCAAATTACAATATGTGAACTTACCCCTCGGACAAAGCTTAATTGTCAAGATAGGCACCCATTCTCCTTTCTATGGTGATGAAAATGGCTCAAATATATCCTTCAAATCCACCATAACCTTCCATGAAGAAATGTCTTAACAACATATAAGCGATGATTACTTAACGTTTTAAATGGGTTAAACGTTTTATTTTCAGTTGGAGTGACCACAAATTGCTAAACAAACCCTCCAGTAAGAAACTATTGGTGAATTCATCAGAAAAATATACAAAAAAACCGTTGGCGGACGCCTATCTCATTCGACTCTTGCTAGTTTTAAATTTCTTCCATAACCAAATTATAGTTCTTTCTTATAATCTTAGGCGAGTATCACAGGACATTATCCGAGTGGTTCCGCCAACCCACCAAACGACAAAAAGGGCAGTAGGTGGAGCCATGTTAACAGGAAAGTACTTTTATTTTCTCGTTCCGTAGATGTACAGCAAAATGAAAGAAGAAGCAGCAGCAGCAGCAGCAATTATGTCTCCTTTGTTAAAAGGAATGGTTCATTTCCTGATCTTATCATTCTTCCATATTATAAAGACCTAAAAAGGCCAATGAATCATTTAGTTCAATTAATATCAGTTTCTTCTTCCATCAGCAAATCTCGACTCAACTCAAACCTAGCTTTTGAAAGAGCAAAAAAAAAAAAAAACATTTCCACCGTTTTGGACGATGAAGTAGTGGAAGTTAGTGATGGGGAAATCAACATTCGATTTCTTGGTCTATGCACTAATATCATTTGGCTGATGATTGACACTTGTCCTCACTTTTAGCTAGAAGAATGGAAGATTATGTTATTTTATTCAGTAACTTGATTATGAGCTCGTTAATCTCGAGAGACCCATTATTTTTTAATTTCCTAGTACGATTCAACCTTATTGGTCGTCTCATCTTTATTCACGTGGGCACCTCCAATGGGAAGCTTAGCCCAAGAACATGCAATCCCAAATCCTAGGCAACGTGCTCTGCGTTTATGTAGGCAGCTCACCAATTAATAAGCCTCTATTAGTATGCATTAGATTCTTAATTATTAAAGTTTTAGTTAATGATTTTCTTTAATGTTAAGGAGAAATCAAAGATAGAATCTACGGTTGCAATGGAGATGAAAGTCACACCCGATTTTGGGTTATTGGTCTAAAGCTGTTTGCCATTGGACAAAGGGGTGAGAAGAGAACCCTCGATTGGCTAATGAATCACGGCGCCTTCACGTGTGTGTGCCAGTCAATCAAACCTTGACAGCTGCTTGCTGGACTCCCATGCGTTTGGAGGATTGCAAGTCAATGCAAGATTTGCGGATTCGACATCAACGACGATCCACTACATTCAATTAAAAGTACTATTTATCCTGACTGTTGAGAAGAGCCCTAGAATTGTGTTCTGTGTAATTGTGCTTGTCTTCGTTTTTAGGTCAAAGAAAAAAAAATGTTAAAGTTAAGTGTTGTTGCGTTCAGTATGACTCTTCAAATTTGAACCATTGACATACCATATGTGATGATCAACACACATAATCTTGATATTAAAAAATTAAAAGGATATTATGTACTTTGCCGTTTTGAAAAATTAAAGACTAAAAATTAAACAAAACGTAATAGTCACTCATTTTTCTCATTTTTCAAATTATTTAAAATTAAACGTGTAACCAATTTTTTTTTTTTTTTTTTTTGTAAGCATATTTCTTTCCTTTTTACATTCTAAAAGATGATAAATTTGGAAACCAATGGCTTGAGTTATGCCCGCCCGCATTATTGCAGAGCTACTTCACTTCTTTTTTCATATATATAATTGGAATGCAAACGTTATCTTTGAATCATGATAAATAGTGCTTA